TCCTTTTTCACCAACAGGCATGAGAAATTTCCATTTTACTTAACTTTATATTTTTGACTTGAATTTGTTTGAAAATTACATATCTCCATTCCATATGATTTATTCATTCTGACTTATTATGTGTAATCTGATCTAAATTCCTTGGTTTGTATTATACTTATCCTTTGATTGCTATTTGAGAGGGTATACTGGTACTGGTGCATGGCTATGGCATTTTTTGCACTGAAAACTATCAAGTTGAAGATGCACAGTCTAAGATTTTCCCACAAAATACTCAAATTGTCCTAATTTACCTGGGCTAAATGGTATTTTTTCTCCAACTAAAAATCCCTTGATCCTCTTTTCATAACTAGCCTTAACAGTCTAGGATAATGAAGAAAAGTCTTCAACCCACACCTAAGAAATATTTTTCCAAATTCCAACATTGTTTGTTACCAATGCTCAGACTGACTTGTGGATCCAAAAATATATTTTGTGCTCAGATAAGTTTAGCGAGAAGAAGTTAATGCACTTAATGTGAGTTTAATATTCTAGACTGATCTGAAAAAACTGTGAAATATCAATAAGGAATTGATCAGATAAATGAGAATCAACATGTGAAATTTGTCAGTGATTTAAGTTGACAAAGGTCAGAGTTTGAGTGATTTATTTCTGATCTTGCTGCAGATTTCAAATATCTTAGAACCCATTTCAGGATAATTTTGCACATAAATTCCTGCATTATTGCTTGTATTTTTTGATGTTACATTTGCTTGATTTTCCAGAAATGTTTAAACAGTAAAATGTGCTCCTACTCTGGGTTTACTTTCACAACTTACTGATATCTATAATGTTGAATTAACTGACTTAAATAAGTGTTTGACTTGGAAAAGCAAGATTGTTATTTAATGATATGTTAATTGAATACTTAAGCTAACTTTTCTTTAATTTATTTTTTATGTTTATACTGGTGTTGTCTTTGCTCTCCCCCTTCCCCCAGAATAGTGAAAATAAACCCAGATGTACTAAGAATGAACTAATTATCCAAACCTTAATATAACTTCTTATTGTATGTTTAAAGAAATTAAAAAAGGATTGATTTAGTTTCATGCTTCCACTTGATATCAACATTAGTTAGTACATAAGCTAATTAGAATGTATTCATTTTATCTTATTATAAATTATGTGTTAAATTCACAGTAACTGTTTTGTTTAACACTAATGATTAATTTTTTATACAAAAATGGAATTTTGTTATTCTAGAATTAGGATTTCTTTTATTGGCTCCTCTTGAGCTGAGTAAACAGTTATTGTGCAAAATAACAATAAATGCTTTCTTATTTGCTTATATTCATTCAGCTTGTTATTGATTTTGAAATTATTTTCTCCCAACAGTATTACAAGTAATCAAATCAACCAAGAATAACAAGCAGCTGGATATAGTGATAGAGGGAAGAAAGAAGGATGAGAGTTACGAGTTTGAGAACGTCCGTGAGCGGGAACGTTTCTGTCAGCTCATTCAGCAAATGAAGAGCATGCATTCTGTCAACCCTGAAGTGGATCATGTGTCGTTGTTCGTTGGCTCGTGGAACATGGGTAAGCTTAAGTTTAAAATGCCATTTATTCTTGATTCCTGTTGTTGTTAAAGACTTATAAACCTGTAATCCATCAATTTTTTTCTGCTAAATGCTGTTTGATATGGTCAGTTCAAACTAATATCCATTTGGTACACATATTCAGCATGCTTATTTTTTCTCATAATATACTGAATTAAATGCCTATTTTTTCATGAACTTAATTTAGTTTTACAGCTGAAAATATGATATCAAAAATATATCCTAATTGTGTTAACCACAAACAAAATTAATGTAAATAAAAAATGATAAAATCAACAATGTTCCAGGTGATGCCACGCCATTTTGGAACCTCACCCCGTGGTTCAAGTGTTATGGCGCAGGGAAGAGCCGAGATAAAACCCTGGGGATGATCCCCCATGATGTCTATGTGGTGGGAACACAGGAGAGTGCCCTGGCGGAGAAAGACTGGGTGAAACGTGTGACAGAGGCCATCAGGAACGCTTTGAATATTGATTTGCATACAGTAAGAACATGTTAACTTACAGCAGTTTGTTGATTTATTTGAAGATTTTATAATATGTATGTATGTAATATGATTCCAGAAATGTCAATTTGTTGAAAAATTGTCTTGTTTCATTGTAACAGGAGTGGCTTAACAATAGTCTAATCTAATCTAGTTTAGGCCTAGTCTAATATTCTTTAGGTATTGTAGTGTAGTTTAGTATACTGTAGTCTAGACTAATATGCTAGTCTAGTCTTGTCCACTATAGTATAGTGTTGAATGATATGCTAAAGTCTAGACTAGTATGCTATTGCCTGGACTAGTATGCTATGATCTTGCTACAGTTTTGTCTTGTGTAATATGCTCTAGTCTAGTTTAGATTAGTATGCTTAAGTCTAGTCTTGTCTAGTATGCTATTGTCTTGTCTAGTCTGCTATAGTCTAGACTAGTATGCCATAGATTTGACTAGACTAAGTATGCTTTAATCTAGTCTTATCTAGTCTGCTATAGTCTAATGTTATGTTTCAGGTGACAATCTGTAGCCTGTGGGGTATACGGCTGTTGGTACTGGTTAAACCAGAACACAAGAACAGGATCAGCCATGTACAGCACTCTACAGTCAAGACTGGCATTGCTAACGCATTGGGTAGGTCACTGTAAAGTGCTGCTCAGAAGTACACTTAAAAAAAAAAATGCTAGGAAAAAAAAAACAACATTTGGATGAGTACCACTTTGCCAACCACTGTTTTTTTATTTTTATTTATTTATTAATTTTTTTATATCTTGAATGTGCTCCTGCAAAAGAAGCCAGATTGCCTTTCAGTTAAATATTAGATGCTGTAATGTGCCACTGAACACCAGTTAAATGCTTCAAATTTCCATCTTTGTTTCCTATAGTGTTTGAAAATTGTTTCTGTTTTAAGGTGATTATGATAATCAATACTTACAAAAGAAGTATTGAGCAAATATTATATAAAAAATGAGAAGAAATAAAAGATGTTTTGACACATTGTAAAACAACAAGACTTTAGGAATATTTCCGATTTTGTGAATTGTTTTTTTTTTTCAACCATTTCCACAGGCAACAAGGGAGCAGTGGGAGTTTCCTTCTACTTTGGCGGGACTTCCTTCTGCTTCATAAACTGTCATCTGACATCTGGACATGAAAAGAACCACAGGTAGGTGGCACCACCTGTCTAGTGACCTACAGTCACGGCAAGGCAGTGTGACCTGAACTTGAAATATACTGTTTGATGTCACCAGATAGACAATTCACTAGAGGCTCATTTCCGATGAAACTATCGCTCAATGTAGATTGATCCAATTCGGGGGAGAACTCTCATGAAATCAATTAGATAAACAGAAAAACATGCCTCCTCTTGTTCCACCACTTTTTTCACCACCAGTTTTTCTGTATTTTTCGCACTGCCAGGAGAAATCAAAATTACCGTGACATTTTGAAAGGCATGTCGCTAGGCCAGAAACAGCTGAGTATGTTTGATCTGACCAATCAGTTTCATCATATCTTCTTCCTTGGAGATCTCAATTACAGACTAGAGGGGGAGGATGCTAATGTGAGTATAATTGCTAAAATGTCAGCTGGCCCACTCAGCTTTATTGTATTTTCTTATTTTGCAATTGTGTAACAGTTGCAATTATAGATTGGAGAAAAAACATGCTAATAAAAATTTGAAATATTGTTAGATAGTAATTTCAAGTTGTTTCAAATTAGTAATACTGCTTTGAATAAAAAAAATCCCAGTTTAATTACATTTGGACATATTACAACATGCTGGTTATGATTGAAGGATGATTTATCAAAAAGTATTTTCATGATATTGCCTTTAGGAAATCATCAATAAGATTAAAGAGAAGGATTTCCATGCTTTACTAGAGAGAGATCAACTGAGAAAATGCATGAAGAATAAAGAAGTTTTTGTCAACTTTGGTATGTATTGGCGTTAATTAAAAAAAAATCATCCACTGTTTGTTAAACATAGCTCATGACCATTAGTATAATTACAATAGAAAAAAAAAAACTGATTCCAACTGTAAAATCAGTTTTCTTGACCGCTTGCTGTGTGCTTATAGCATGATAAAAGGCAATACAACAAAATCATTTCTGAGATTTATAGTTTGATAGAACAAGATAAGCAAAGTTTCAGTTTAATTTTGCATATCTGCTAGCTTTGATTGCTTTTTATCTATATTGATATCATGATATGATTACCTTGAAGTTTTGTAGCTGACAGGCAATTTTTGATTGATGTCTGTATATTGGAGAGTTTTTTGTCTGGTGTCAATCACAAAAACGGATACAAACATCATTTAGTTAAACATTGTTTATTGATCACATGTTCACAGCCGAGGAAGACATCACATTTCCACCAACTTACAGGATCGCACGGAATACATTGGACAAGTACGAGTGGAAGAAAGTCAAGAAAACAGGGGTAGGTGGATGAATAAGAAAGGAACATGTTAAAATTTGTAACTGATTGATTTGATATTTTACTTTTGAAAACTTTGTTATATGTAGAATTTAAAAATAAAATTAAATGGATAACACAATATTATGTTGTTTTCTTATTGTAATGTATTGTTATTCTTTTTTTTTTTTTGTAATAATTATTTTGAATAAACAATTAAAAGCAAGTACACTACTTATATTTTTTTCTGTTTTTTATATTACAGTCAGGATTTTGTTCTCAGACTTCACTAAAGAAATTTAAATTGTGAATTGTTCTATATTTTAAGACCAAAATTTTAGTCTAGCCCAAGATAAATAAACCTACTGTCTTATAGCAAGCTACAAGGTCACAGTAATTGTGATGTATTTCTAGGTGAGAATCAATGTGCCTTCTTGGTGTGATAGGACATTATGGAAATCATATCCTCAGACTTATGTCAATAACACAGCATACGGTAATGTATAATGAAGATATTCCAGTCTGGTTTTTGGTCTACTTTACTCTGCTTTGTTATGGAAGTCACATACTCAGACTTCTGTTAATAACACAGCTTAGGATAAAGTTAAGTTTCTAGTCAAATTGTGTCTGCTTAACTTAGCCCTGTTTATAGTACTTATCCTGCATTATTAGGTTATCACTTTGGGTTGACATAGTTCCATATGCCCAAGTAAGACCAAATCAGTATAATAAAAGTTTCTGATATTACTACTAAAACAGGCTAAAAATATTGGCATGTACCATACTAAGAAAAAAATATGATAAATAAATTATTAGGTTTACGAAAACCGTATGCTTAAATGAAGTATTCACTTAATCTTTGTTGTTGTAGGTTGTGTGGAGGAGATCTGGTCCAGCGATCACAAGCCAGTTTTCTCTTCATTTGAAATTGGAGTCATTCCGCAGACGGTCCCCGGGGCCCAGCGCAGTGACGACCTTGAAATTATTTTCCAAGAGGTCAAGATTGAAGTCAAGACATGCTCAAAGCCACACTTTCAGCTAGATTTTCATTCTAATTGTTTGGAGAGTATGTGCTTTAATGATAATTTTGTGTTTTATTTTATTTAGTAATTATCTATTTTTGGAATTATGAAATATTTGATGGTGTACCAACAGGAAATATCTTTTTGGAAAATAAATTTTATCCTTCATGTTATTTTGTAATGGAGAATGAAAATTAATACAATTTACTGATTAGTGAGTAAAATCTGTAGGTGAAAACTTGAAGATAATTATATCTTGCACAAAATTGATGATATGTAGAAAATGTTTATGTAAGAAACATTTGAAAGTCCAAACCAAAAATGGTGCAGAATTATACATTCTATTTTTTATTTCTGTTAACATGAAAAATATCTCAAATAAGAGCAAAGATTATTCATTGTTTTTAGGCCCAGTTGTCAGTCAGCCCAACAAGACATACGGCAGCAGCAATGACAATGCAAAATGTTATCCGAAGTGGGAGCATGAACTGCTACCAAAGGTAGAGAGATTTGGGCACCTGTCACTTCTAATAGTGATGTGTCCATATTTAGAAGTTGAAAAGGCAACAAACAGGGAATGTTGATTGTACCCAACAACTTAATTATTTGCAAAGATTATGGAAAAAGAAATTCATGGTTTTGATATATTTTGTACTGATGTATCTCTTCTTTTTTTGGTTAAAACTTTAAGCATGGAAGATGTTTATCTTTTTTATTTTCTGAAACATCCGCACGTTTTTTTTTTTTTGTGAAACGCAGCATAGTCTGATTAGTCATAGCAGGCTAAGGTTTTAGCCTAAGAACTGACTTTTGTGAAACAGGCTCAGGTATATTATGTTTTTTATTTGATATATACTCTTTTTGTACATTTTAGCTTCACCCTATATTCTCTGACGTGGACTATTTGGAGGATCAGCACATTCTAGTGGCTGTCAAAGCCAAGGACGAGTCTGACTCATACGGTAAGGTATATTCATATTTAAGAATATTTTTTGAATTTTTAACAAAAAAATTTTAAGTAGTATGAGGATCAAGATGTTATGATTGCTTTGTCAGTTTTTGTTATGATTATTCAAATTTGATATTTTATTTATGATATATTGTTTGCATTTCTCACTCATTTTTCTGAAAAATTAGCTAATTAAAAGCTTTATATTATTTTAAATTTTGTGCATATCAAAATTGTATGTTAAAATTTTGCTACAACCTCTGAATGTTTGCCTGATACACCACCATGTTGCAATATTATATCTTTCAGTTATATATATATTCAATAATGATAACTTTTTCTGGGATACAAATTAGGAGAATTTGTTGTGTCCCTGAAGCAGAAGTTCAGTGTGTCAGCTCAGCCATTTACCTGCTATATGTTACATCAGGGAGAGGAGACGGGCTCTGTGAGGTGAGGAGTTGGATGATATTAATCCTCTCTTTTATAAATCCTCTATTATATATATATATATATATATATATATATATATATATATATATATATATATATATATATATTTTTTTTTTTTTTTATTTTGGATGTAAACAGCAGGTGGTACTTTTGTTAACATGAATGATTCGGTAAGCATATTTTAAATGAGAGATATGCCCATTTGTCTTTTTTTTTTTTTTTGTTAGTTAATGATGTGACTGTTACTAGGGATATGCAAAATTAATTTGAACTATGTTTTTTAAAAAAGTTTTTTTTTTTCTGTTTCAGTGGATTTGTGCACATTGTGGCAAAGAATGCAGAGAGTACAAGACGTCATCAATCCAGAAAAAGTTATGGTGAGCAAACGATACAACTTGAAGCTTAAAATTTAGTGAGAAAATGCAATGATTCAATTATATCTAAGAATTATTTATTATTTTATTTGAAAAATAACCATTTCAAAAAAAATCTTAATGACTTGAGGGGCACTTAAATTGTTGTTGGGTTATTTTTTCAGTGCATAAATTTGCCAAAAGGCAGATTTTTTAATCATGAAAGATGTTTAAACAATTCAACTTCCTACACTACAATGGGAGTGGAGTTAGTTAGAGATTTAAAAAACTATTGAGATGTAATACATGTATATGTGTAGGAATAAATGTTGACAGTTCTTTTGTTACAAGTATGATGTTTATATGTATTAAACCTTTCAGAATGTGTGTACATGGACACAGACATACTGAAAGGACCCCCTACCCCGCCTGCAGGTCAGGCAATGCTTAGTCCAGTGGTTGAAGAACTCGGGAAGAAATTGTCGCTCACCAAATCTTCTTCAGTGCCATTATCTGTTGGATCAGCCAAATCAAAAGACAGGGGGCCTCCTCTTCCACCAAGGCCTACAGATCTCCTTAGCGACAGCGCTGTGGCCCCATCTTTTGGTGCAGTCAGCCCAGTGGTGCCACCTGGAGGTGGAGAACCAGTGGTGCCACCTAGGCCTCACAAGATGAGCCCAGCCCCAGTTGAACTCCCGCCACCTTTGGTTCCATCAGCACCACCCACAGATCATAATGATGATGATATTTTTGGCACTTTCGGTGGATTTTCGTTCTTAAAGCATGGACAACAGGGGCATTCCCCAAGGGGAGGGAAAATGCCACAGAAAGATTCTCGAAGGATGTCAGACGGGACTGCTCCACCTATGTCTCCAGTGAAGAATAACTTGGACAGCAAGAGACTCGTTGATTTGAAGCCGTGTCCTTCTAATAAGCCTCAGTCTGGACTGGTAGGTCAAGGTCATGCTGAAGGTCATGATCCTTCAACAGCGGAAAATTATTACACTCATTTACTGACTCGGCAGGACTCTGACAGTTCTGAGTACACCTCTCCTCCTCCTCTCCCTGAAAAAACCAGACCCTTCAGTGATTCGGTAAGTACCCGCTGATAGATGTATATTTGATTATCTTGACTGCAGTTTTCCTCATCCTCTCCCTATGAGAAAAAGGATCTTTCCTTGAACCACTGATACCTCGTAGTTAGAAGTTAATGATGTTTGCATGGTTATTGATTATGAACCGATGTCAAATTACAGTTCCTCAAACCAAGTTAATGATGTTGCATGATTCTTGATTATGAACAAGTATAAAATTACTTGGCCTCAAACCAACACCTTTTATCCTGTTTGTAGAAAATAGCAATAAAAGCAACTTTGTTATACAATATGCTCCACAAAGATTTGTACATTGCATATATTTTTTGGGTTTATTTTGTGGGCCTTACTGTTTGCTACATGTTATAACACATCTTTGCCTCACTTTTCTGCTTCTCTCCGTCATTCCTAAATGTAAATTCACTGCTTTTATATTATCTATATTTTTTTCTCTCCTAGGGATCGTATGCCTCACTACGCACCCCTGTTACTCTAACACAATGGCTGCTTGAGCTTGGTCTGCCATTTTACAACGACATCTTTCTGGAAAACGGCTGGGACACAATGGCGTACATGAAGGACATGACGGAACAAGACCTCAAGGACATGAACATCAGTAATGCTGAACACAGGAAGAGAATTCTGTCAAGTTTGCAGGAGATGAAATAGGGGGAAATGTTCCTAAAATAAATGGCAGAAAAGGTGGCACGATTAATTTGGAAATATGTACAATTCAGTGCAAAAATAGCTGGATCTGTCTTTTATCTTTCAGGATTATAACAATGTTCTTCAGAGGGTCTATTATTTGATGAAGATCAATGCAGATGGATCTAAAACCAGTAGGAGTATATGGAGGCTTGCATAATTTTTACATACAAGTGTTACACATATACCAAAATGTATATTGTTTGCTTCCATGACATACCTAAAACAGATCCTGTACTACTGGAAAGCAGGCAGTGCATGGAGACAGTTGTAAAGCAGTGCTGCCACCTTTTAACTAAAGACTTGTCATATTTACAGTGACATGAAGGCAGGAATTTTGAGTTGGGAATTTTAGATTGGAAAATGTTAAGTTAAAACTATGAATGATTGCAGGATACATGACTGACTTTTGGAATCAGATTGAGGGGAATAACCTTTTTTTCTTGAAGAAAGTGAGCAACAGTCAAGCAACAGACAAAGATGAGCTGCTGCCCATGTGAAGAAGGCTTTACAATTCTCTGTGCAATTGAAAATGCATATTCACTTTTTAACAGACAGATTGAGACCCTTGAGTTGCCATAATTTTGTTAAAAACAAAACTTCAAAATGGTATTAGTAAGAGTAATAACAGTAATAGTGGCATTGATGACCGATTCTGTGTCTGTTGTATGAATTTTATTTAAATTTATGAAATTATATATTTATCAGAACCATTTATCAAGTATTATTCAGTTGTGAGTATTGTGTTATTGTAAAAAGCAATAATCAAACACCTGTCAGCAACTTTTTTATATATCAGATTAGTTTTTACAGGATATTAGTATTAATGAATACAGTGTAGATAAGTTTGGAACTTATGAAATTGAAATACAGTTTTTAGATAAGCTTGCCCTCAAAGTGTATTGACATAATACTTAAATACTAGCGATACGAGTATTCAGCGCTTGAAATTTTAGATAATATATATACTTTAACAGTTATAATCAGCTGACACATTAAATTTCAGTCCTGACAGAACATTTGGATTTGCTTGCTGTTGAATTCAAAAAAGAAAATTGGAATTGCTTGCCTAGGTTTGTTTCCCAAAAGAACTGTACCGAAGTAATTGGTCTAAATTTTGGACAAAAATGTTAATGTCTTTCTTGCTGTAAAACAGGCTAATCATTTCATTTAATTTAGTCAAAGAAGACTAAAATTCTCGTCTTTTAAGTTAGGACCAATTCTTGGGAAATAAGTTATTTTTTAAACATCCCCCAGTAACAGAAATTAAGCTTTTTGAATTATACAAGACTTCACACATTTTTGAAACCTAAGGTGAAAATGGGTCCCAAACAAAACGGTAAACATTTTTTTTTTTCTTAAGACATTTCAAGCAGTCAATAACTGGGCAAGATTGACACTGGACTTTCTGGACAACAGTATTAAAACATGGTCACCAAAAGGCCTTAATTATTGCCAATAATTCATCTGTTTTGCCTTCAGAATAAGTCTCATAGGGTGGGAGTAGTGGTTTCATGTGCTAGATATAATTTTGAATACAATCACATATAGTGTACAGTGAATTTTTATTATAAAGTAGGTATGTTCACATTTCATATATCTATATATATAGCCCACTGTTCAGGGTTAAGGAACAGATAACATTGTGATAACTTTGCATTATTAGGTATATGAACTAATTATAACTTTCAGAAACAAATAATCTTTTAATTTAAATTGTACCGTAACTGATTCAAAAGTAGAATTACTAACATAACTATTTTTATCAACAGCTTTAAAGTGATCTCCTTACAATATATATACTTATGCAAAGTTTTATGAAGATGTTTTATATTCTGTTAATATACAGTGGCCTGCTGTACACTCAGTGTGTTTGTACTGATCACGTTATCATGCCCAGCACTTAATGTATGACATAGCAAGGGCTTTAAATATGTTTTAAATTCACACTTTTAATATGCTGAGAAAAACTTCTCAGTAAGCACAGTAATAAATGGATGATGAGAAAACAAAGAAGTATTTTTTCAGAATTTTCATCTTCTGGATGGTTTCATTTGAATTTGAATTTTTCAGTTGTTGCATTAAATATTTTTTGTTCAGTTGTACTAAAATATTTTACTTTTTCCCCAAAAGCAGATATTTCAGGACATAAAAAGAAAACATTCTCAGAACAATCTCCAATCAACAGCCGGTACTGTTCCCACACCTTTCAACATCGACAAGTGCTTGCCAGGTCAAAAATATTCCACAGAATGTTTGTATGACGCAACCACCGGTCCTTTCAAAGACCAACTTCCACAGATATGAAAAAAAAAGAATGCTTACAAAAATACAAGACATTTTTCACTTCTTTTCCTTGATTTTCCTCCACTCCTAGGGAATATACAAAATGCAAGAAACTTTCTGAATTCCCTTTTTTTCACAGAGAAAGTGGGGCATTGTTCAAATGAAGATAATTCCGATCCCCGAATTTCCCAGACTTCGATTATTTCTCTCCGTGACATATCTGCTGCATGATGGTGGTACAAAGTCCCATGATCTGAAGGTACTCGTCTGCTCCATCACTTAGACATTTGTCAACAATCTGGAGAAAAAAACAAACTTTTTGGTTTCTTTATATAAATAAAACATCCCCAAATGAAATTTCAACACAGAAGCTGTTAAAAGATTGATAATCTTAACCAAACCAATTGCCTACTTTTATTTTAATGATTAAATAACAATGAATTGATGGAACAACACCAATATTGACCTAATACTAAATTGTAAGAAACCCCATTTGTGACCTTTACAGAAAAACGAGGATACGAGAACAAGGCCAAGAGGGAGACAGCTACCGAAAGAGCACTCCAAGAATTTCTTACAAACTCTATCAATCGGTAAGAAGTGCAAAATCTACGGATACATAAAAATGTGTATATTAACCGTCTCCTGCGAATGAAAGCTGTTTAGCCGACTTGAATGTAGCCATAAAGTACTTTTTGACATATCTATCATAACGTATACTGTATGTAACTACATAAATGACACTAGGTTGCGACAGGTGCGTTGATGAGTAGTGCTCACTGGGTAGCAATAGCTCAAGTCAGCCTTATTGCCTCAACAATATATACATCTACATATAAATATAAACATATCACTATGAGTTCACACAGCAAATCAAAATACTTTAACATTAACAAAGATTCAAAGAACTCTGCTACAGGTAGAATGAAAATTACAGCTAATCAGAAATCCACCAGTCAACCAGCAAAAAGGAAGAAACATCTTTAATTTTGGCAAAACTAGAGGAAATTGAATGTGAAATCAGAAATACTGTTAAAGCAAAGGTTCGAAAAGACATTGTCCAAGAAATAGTCGCAGGGGGGGGGGGACTAGATAAAATAGAAGACAAGCATAAAATGGACATTGGAGATATAAAGGAAAGAATTGATTTGCTGGAATTAGAAAACAATGCTCTTCAAAAACAGCTGGTAAAGAACAATCTTTCAGAAATTAATGAAATTTGTTCATAACCTTTGAGTTAGGCTGTTATAACCAACTTGGCAGTCAGGAATTTTCTATCTCTCGAAGGAAAGCATGGAAACTTGTACTAAACTTACTGCTAGTTTTTCCAAGATGACAGACTTTTGTTTGTCCCCGAGTTCTGGGTGCACCACTAGAAGTTCATGTAACTGTGTGATGATTTGGTACGCAGAGTGCCCTTCTAACATTATTTCCTGGAATGTACAATTTTAAACAATTCTATGTGATTTGGTACACTGAGCATCTTTCTAACATAATTTCCTGTCTTATTATCTCTGAATAATTATGGAAATAAATAATAATAATGAATTAGTTAATCATTTATTGAAAAATATATCTTTTTATCAAAAATCTGTTCAAGGTAAGGCATTAGATTGGATTTCCGACAAAATATGCAATGGCATTCACTGTGGTTAACTGTTTCAATCTCTACAATTTCCTATAATTCTTAAAAATTTCAAGTCTACTAGAAAATAATTGCAGATGACCTTACCTTTACAAATGCCTCGAGTTTTTCGTAAGAGTCTGAGTGACAAACCCTCAATAAATCATCTATTATATCATTTGGAATCACCTGCAAGAGAAATAACAGTCAGTAGTTTATTCATTCAAATAATATTTATATCAGAATTAAAAGCCTTCTTTTGCAATTTTCTTTAAAAAATATCAGTGATGCTCAATGATTGGGATTTGAGATGTAATTCAAATTGTTATTATTGTAATGCCTGGTTTCAATTTATAAATAAATAAAACATTTAAAAGGAGGCTGCAGTAATGAGAAGAAAATAGTAAAGATGACCTTGAGTGGCCATTGGACTAAAATTGCTACATAAATTTAATTCACCACCTACCCCAGCAATTTCAAAAATATCTTTTTCTGTTATTTCCTCTTCTCTTTTTAACCTTGCCACGCTCTGCATAAAAGTAATGGCTTTCCTCATGTCACCTTCAGATACAGCTTCCAATGCTGAGATTGCCTGGAACAGAAAACATCTCTTGAGGAAAAATGAAAAATATTTTTTTTTTGATAAAATCACCTTCAGAAATTAATTTAAGGTTGATGCAAGTTGTTATAACATTTAAATTACCTTACAGAAACACAAGCGGTTTCCATAAAAATTTATAAGTTTGGGAATAAATAAAAATTCAATATTGTTTATTAACTATACATCTCAGTATCACCATAAATGTGCAAAAGTGCAAAAAAAAAAAAAAAAAATAGAAGAAAAACTTTATCACTGTCTTTCCTCACCTCATCAGATATTTTAACGCTTTCTAATTCCGCAATTTCCCTCAATCTTGTCTGCAGCACGTCGCTGGCCAGTGGTTTGAACCTGAACTTGGCACACCTGGATGTGATGGGTTCTATAATACGACTGACGTAATTACAGATCAGACAAAACCTGGTTGTTTTGGATTCCTTCTCCATTGTCCTTCTCAGGGCTGCCTGGAATATGATTTTAAATTGACAATTCTTTTCATACCATTTGGAAAAAAATTAATACAGTACATGATATGACTTTTATTCAAATTTGATTAAATAGTTTCGTTTTTTCTCTTTGTAATTTTGTATTACAATCTGGTGCTATTTGCTGCGCCCCCACTCAAAATGCATAACTGTTTAAATATGTTAATGCATATAAAGGTCATATACATAGGCACACTTGCAAAAGTACACACACACATATCTACACACATGCAAGGACATACACATATTTTAACATTTCACAATCCCCTCACCTGTGCCGGCCCTGTCATAGAGTCTGCTTCATCTAAAATAATTATCTTGAATGGTGGACAAGGTTTCCCACTGAAACATTACAGATGAGATTGTGTCAGTAAAAATCTTATTAAAAATGTACAAGTTACATGATGAAAATATGTATGTGTGTGTAGAAGATAAAAATGTTTGTGTGTGTGTGCGTGTGTGTGTGAGAGAGAGAGAGAGAGAGAGAGAGAGAGAGAGAGAGAGAGAGAGAGAATACTCACTCTGGTCTTTGTCCACTGGCAGTCAGCTGTGCAAAGTTCTTCACTTTTTCACGTATGACATTAATGCCACGCTCATCTGAAGAGTTCAGTTCTAGAATCCTGGTCTTAAACATCTCAGGGCTAGGGGGGAAAAATTAAAAAAATATACGAATATGGAATATAATCTGGGCATAAGCAGATACTCTGCCTCATATTTGTAGTAGTAGAAATAGCAGTAATAAATAAATAAATAAATAAATAAATAAATAAATAAATAAATAAATAAATAAATAAATAAATGGATGAATGAATAAAACTACCAACAGCACAAATGATAATAATAATAAACTATTTCCCATAAATGAACTCCACTCACCCATACAATTCCCTGGCAGCAGCCAGTATGGTTGATGTCTTTCCTGTTCCCGGAGGACCATAGAATAACAGATTTGGCAGCTAAAATAGAAACAAATAAGGCATTTTTGATAAATAATATTGATTTCCTTGGACCATTTATAGCACATAATTGTACAAGGTATTTAATCAGTGAATAAATTTTCACAAATATATCATATTAAGAGGTGACTGCTCACAAATGCCAATCTCATGGATATGTTAGATGAGAAAGTATAGCAAACTGTGTCGGCTGTGTTATGTATACCAGTACAAGCAGAATGTGTTAGGAGTACTGATATACTTACAATATGCATGGTGTGTTATCATACATAGAATGTGTTAGGTGTGACAGTGCAACAAGAGTGCAACCGAGTGTTACCTGTGCCAGCACAAGAATGTGTTTGATGTGAAAACACAAGAATGTGTTTGATATGAAAGTACAAAAATGTGTTAGTTGTGCCAGTACAAGAATGCTTTTGGGGTGCCAGAATATGATGAATGTGTTAGATAAACCATTAAAAGCACAATTTGATGGGTGGGAAAGATTGTGTTTGGTGTGACCGTATACAAAGCACGTTATAGGTGTGCCAGTACATGAAGAATGTGTTAGGTGTGACAGGACAAGTAAAATGTGCCAGGTGTGCCAGTAATGACAGACATCTGTAATGACTTACATCTACTCCTTGTAAAGACTTCTTCAACACTGCAACCACTTCTTCTTGGTGAGCTACCTCCTCCACTGTTTTGGGACGGCTAAGAATCAAAGCCACATATTAAACCATCTTTCATAAAACTTTATATCCCAGTTTGCAATGTTAATTTGCACCCAATGTTAAGCACCAGTAAAAATGAAGTCAGACCATTAAAATTTATTTAATTTTTCAAGTTACTGGCCATAATTTCTGTTTTGGTCCATTAGATTCTTAGACTCTGGTGTCCAAAGGAATCAGACGGCTTTAAAATTTCGCACAGTCAAATCAATATAATTTTTGGTTTTATTTTACGTTATTTTATCTATTTAACTATTCACTTTTATTTTTTACATTGCCTTGGTTGGAAATGTCCATATAGTAATATACACATCTGAAATGCCATAAAATCACAACCACCACATTAACTCACTATTTTTCCACCCATGGCATGTGCTTCTTGGTTTGCTTGGACTGCTTTCCTGAGGTACTCCCTTTGTCCTTTTCTTTGGCACTAGAAGTCGCAGAGCCTAAGGTCCCTCCTTTCAGAAAGGCATGCATCTTGAAAACCTGTAAAAATCAGATTCCTGTTTTGATTGATTGCAGATAAGGTATTACATATGCGACAGGCTGAAAGATAAAACAGAAAGGCTGTCTCGTACACAATATGACCTGCACATTATCATACAAAAGAATGAAGAAAAATAAACTGTTGCAGCATTACAAGTTACAAGGAAAATGTGAGACTGACAATGGGCAAAAATCTGTGGATATTAGTAGTAGTATCATATTGTAGCAGTGTCAAGCATAAAGAAGAAAATGTTTACACATGCAAAGTTTGTTTTGACATACTGTGTGTCTCCCCCTTCACACACACACACACACACACGCGCGCGCGCGCGCACACACACACACGCGCGCGCGCGCGCGCACACACACACACACACGCGCGCGCGCGCACACACACACACACACACACACACATCCTCTTCTCTCTAATCCACTGATTCAAGTTTATTTGTAAACACAGACACGTCGGGACTCTTCTTAGTGCATTGTAACAGTCCCATAATCATCTCATTTTGATCAGATATTTCTCGTTCACACAAGTGTGTTATGTAAATGTTCTTACTGTTGGTTAAAAAGGAAACAACGGACATAAACAATGTTCACTACTTACCTGCACAATCTTCACAATATTTCGCGGGGTTTTTCGCGCACGCGCGCGTGTAAAGGAAACCGGCGGAAGTCATCAATGCGCATGTACAAATAGATACCAAGAGAAAGAAGAATGAGGAAGCGTAGTATTTTGAAACTCAATTAAACCATAAATACTAAGCAGAATAGAAACCTGCAGGGTTTCTGAAAGTAAGTCCAAAGTACTTGATATCATACCGATGCGATGTGATACTTATGATCGCGTGATTTCTACTCTAACTGTTCTTGGATTTTGATGAACAATCAATCAATTTCAAGAACGAGATGTAGGTTTCCTAATCCTTATTGTTCTTACTATATCAGTAGATGGGAGATAATAAAGTGTCGCGGATGCATCGATGTTTACGGACCTATCACTTAATTAAAAAACAGGTGTTTTTCCCACTCAGAGCAAAAATGAAATAAGCACAGACCCAGAATGTATTATTTATTCCCTGGTAAAAATTGTATCCGAAAGAGAAAGTGAATTATTGTTCAACTTTTAATAACATAGATCAGGAAAAGTTGGAGTTCAAACATAAGCATATTTGTGAAATTAGATATCTGCATTAATCAGCAAGCTTTTCTGAAATTGGTTTTTCAAGTATTAAAGAATAAAGAGGAACCGTAGGGGGAATGTAAACAAGACTTGCCATACCTTGACAAAGTTAAACTAGGAGTAGAAATTCTGTTTGTGGTGCAATCTTTATAAAGCCGTTTCATTATAGATTCACACCTTCTGAGAATTTATATTTAATGGTGGTATTAAGATCTTAAAATAACATGTTTTGAACACACTAATTTTTATGCCTTTTTTTTTTCTTTGCATTTATGCAAAATTGCTGTTTCATACATCCTTATTTAATTTCCCAGTTTTGAGAATGACGGCTGCTGAGGACAACAAACTTGCTGTGGACCCGACACCTGATGCACCAGAAACGTCACACCAGGGGTCACCACCATCACCACTGACTCCAAACACTGCAATACCGCTGCCGTATTATACCGAGTCAGTTAACACTGTAACTGTACCTAAAGGTAGGCAAAGTGTAATTAAATGTGGTGCTTGAGTGTGTGAATGTAACCATTTGCACTTTATCTTAATTTTCTTTAACAGAATTTATAAGTTTATGACCCAAAAAAGTTGTTGGGAAACAAGAAAAAAAATCCTGTCATCAACATGTTTTGAAGATTCACGTATTAAGATTCAAATTATTAAGCAGAGTATAAATTCCTATTCTGAAAGGACATTTTTTATTAGCAGTAGACTAAAACCAACCTTAAAATACACCCAATGTTTTCAGCCCAGCATAATAACAGTCCAGACCCCAACAATGAACCCCTGTCCAAGTCGCTGTACTTACCCCCCAGTGTGGAGCTGTTACCCTCCTACTACCCCCCGGGCCACCAGAGCAGCCCTCAGGCTCAGGGAGAGGGGAAGGACGCCTGCAGCAAGGATGTAAAGGGTAAGATAAGTGACTGTTCAAAAAAAGAGGGCTATTTTTTATCCAAATATACAAATACATAAAAAACAACACAATTATTCCCGTAAGTCAAAGCAAACACTAGTGGGCTGGATTTGGTCTTAAAGTGCAATTTAAGAACACTAGTGATCTTACACGATCTTTATCATTACATCAGTAGTCTTCAAATGGACTGAATCTGCTTTTAAGTTCAAAAATGATCTAACTTCTACTTAAGTGGTCAAGCAGTTTCCTCCCCTCACAATGGGGGATACCTCCCCTCACAATAGAGGACCCCTCTGCTCACAATAGGAGAATGTGTAAGGGGAGACAACTTTTAAAATTCGATGTTAGACCAGAAATGGTCTTACTCATGGTTTAAGATCATGTAAGACAATCTGTGATCTTAAATTGCACTTTAAGACCAAATGAAGCGCACTAGTGAAAGTAGTAATGGTGAAAAATACATTTCTTGTGCAGTGCATGATTTACAAGTCCTTGCCCCCATTAGCCTTGTACAGTTTTTACAGAATAACAATTATAACATTTTCATCTGTCATACATTGATAAAGTCCAAGCATCCTCCTCCTCATATTCTTCTTCTCTCCTCAGATTCCAGTGCCACCCCGGGAGTGTGTGGTCTGCGTAACCTAGGCAACACCTGCTTCATGAACTCGGGATTGCAGTGTGTGCTCAGCAACCCCTACCTGGTCAAGTTCTTTGTGGAGAATTATGTAAGTGAATCAGGGTCTGGTTTGGTTGTTATAGTTTTTTACAACAAGTCATTTCAACAAAAAGTATAAATAATGTCAAATTGGGGTATGTGTGTATATGAGAAGTGAATCGGTATTGTTTTGTCCATGCTTATTTCTGAAGTTTAAAAAAAAATGTCAAATTGTGTAATCGTGATTATTTTGTTATCAATTGGTCAATCTAAGAAGCAATTACAAACAATAGTACAAGAGAATTGTTTTTAAATCTCCACTTTGGTAAGTTCCCTTTCAACTTAATAACTTTCTTGGGCAAAACTGAAAATTTAATATCAAACTTCACTATCAATTTCCCCAGGTCCAGGGAAAGAGTCTGACTGAGGACAGTACGCTGACAGGCAAGTTCTGTCATCTCCTCCACAAAGTCTGGTGTGGACAGTTCTCAGGGATATACCCTCTGGACTTCAAGGAGATCCTGNTTTTTTTTTCTTTGCATTTATGCAAAATTGCTGTTTCATACATCCTTATTTAATTTCCCAGTTTTGAGAATGACGGCTGCTGAGGACAACAAACTTGCTGTGGACCCGACACCTGATGCACCAGAAACGTCACACCAGGGGTCACCACCATCACCACTGACTCCAAACACTGCAATACCGCTGCCGTATTATACCGAGTCAGTTAACACTGTAACTGTACCTAAAGGTAGGCAAAGTGTAATTAAATGTGGTGCTTGAGTGTGTGAATGTAACCATTTGCACTTTATCTTAATTTTCTTTAACAGAATTTATAAGTTTATGACCCAAAAAAGTTGTTGGGAAACAAGAAAAAAAATCCTGTCATCAACATGTTTTGAAGATTCACGTATTAAGATTCAAATTATTAAGCAGAGTATAAATTCCTATTCTGAAAGGACATTTTTTATTAGCAGTAGACTAAAACCAACCTTAAAATACACCCAATGTTTTCAGCCCAGCATAATAACAGTCCAGACCCCAACAATGAACCCCTGTCCAAGTCGCTGTACTTACCCCCCAGTGTGGAGCTGTTACCCTCCTACTACCCCCCGGGCCACCAGAGCAGCCCTCAGGCTCAGGGAGAGGGGAAGGACGCCTGCAGCAAGGATGTAAAGGGTAAGATAAGTGACTGTTCAAAAAAAGAGGGCTATTTTTTATCCAAATATACAAATACATAAAAAACAACACAATTATTCCCGTAAGTCAAAGCAAACACTAGTGGGCTGGATTTGGTCTTAAAGTGCAATTTAAGAACACTAGTGATCTTACACGATCTTTATCATTACATCAGTAGTCTTCAAATGGACTGAATCTGCTTTTAAGTTCAAAAATGATCTAACTTCTACTTAAGTGGTCAAGCAGTTTCCTCCCCTCACAATGGGGGATACCTCCCCTCACAATAGAGGACCCCTCTGCTCACAATAGGAGAATGTGTAAGGGGAGACAACTTTTAAAATTCGATGTTAGACCAGAAATGGTCTTACTCATGGTTTAAGATCATGTAAGACAATCTGTGATCTTAAATTGCACTTTAAGACCAAATGAAGCGCACTAGTGAAAGTAGTAATGGTGAAAAATACATTTCTTGTGCAGTGCATGATTTACAAGTCCTTGCCCCCATTAGCCTTGTACAGTTTTTACAGAATAACAATTATAACATTTTCATCTGTCATACATTGATAAAGTCCAAGCATCCTCCTCCTCATATTCTTCTTCTCTCCTCAGATTCCAGTGCCACCCCGGGAGTGTGTGGTCTGCGTAACCTAGGCAACACCTGCTTCATGAACTCGGGATTGCAGTGTGTGCTCAGCAACCCCTACCTGGTCAAGTTCTTTGTGGAGAATTATGTAAGTGAATCAGGGTCTGGTTTGGTTGTTATAGTTTTTTACAACAAAAGTCATTTCAACAAAAAGTATAAATAATGTCAAATTGGGGTATGTGCGTATATGAGAAGTGAATCGGTATTGTTTTGTCCATGCTTATTTCTGAAGTTAAAAAAAAAATGTCAAATTGTGTAATCGTGATTATTTTGTTATCAATTGGTCAATCTAAGAAGCAATTACAAACAATAGTACGAGAGAATTGTTTTTAAATCTCCACTTTGGTAAGTTCCCTTTCAACTTAATAACTTTCTTGGGCAAAACTGAAAATTTAATATCAAACTTCACTATCAATTTCCCCAGGTCCAGGGAAAGAGTCTGACAGAGGACAATACGCTGACAGGCAAGTTCTGTCATCTCCTCCACAAAGTCTGGTGTGGACAGTTCTCAGGGATATACCCTCTGGACTTCAAGGAGATCCTGGGCATGTATCATCCTCAGTTCAGGGACTTCAGGCAGGTTAGTAGTGCCTGGTTAAACTCCTGTCTTCAAGATGTAGTTTAGTTTTGTTTTCAGTTGCCATGTTTTTATTTCCCAACCTGGTATTTAGAAAGGGTTTTTTCATTTTGGAAAATTACTCAACGTGGCATTTTCATTTTGGAGAAGTCCCATTTTGTGACTTATAAATGATTCTTGGATTTTGTGTAAATGTTGAGAATTGGGAAATGTTATTGCACCTTTTATTAGAGGTCTCATCTCTTATACCTGTCTTCCATTGTTTCAGCATGACTGCCAGGAATTCCTGGCCCTTCTTCTCGACACACTGCATGAACAGCTGAATGTGGCGTCCCCACAGAACAATACAACACGGGCTGCCAAGCTGTCCACAGAAGAGGGGGTGACAACTTCTAATGCAGGGGCTGGAGTTGCCGTCAATCAACAAATCAAATGCTCAAACGTAGACCCTGTTTCCATGGAGACCAATATTGTCCATGACACCATGGAAACAGAGCCTGCTACCATGGATACCATGGAAACAAATACTGACCAATCATCAGATGCAATCAGAGATGACCAATCAGATGTGACTGATGCTGGCACCAATCAGTCCGACTTGATGACAGACAATCAGTCGGACATCACAGAGATTGGGACGGAGGGTGACCAGCTGGACGCCATGGTGGAGGATACTGACCGCCTGGTGGCTGCCCACAGTCAGTCTCAGTCCCCAGTGGATAGTCTTAGTCACCTTCATTCCGAGGACAGCAATCACTCATCTGCCTCCCTGCAGAGCTCGGACTCTCACAAGCTCTTAGAGAACTCCTCGTACAGGATGCAGGCAGTGCCGGAGGATATTAAAAAGAGGGCGCTGACGGAGAGTCCGTCTCTGGATCCGAAATCTGTGACCATGATTACGGATCCATCTTTGTCTAACAATAAACTGGAGAAAAACGTGATCTCAAACAACAAAGCTCATTCAATCCGTCTCGTTGGTCTGGAAGAGATGTACATGAAGGACACGAAGACGAAAAACGTCAACGTGCTGGCTAAGGAGTTCATGGTAGAGGAGGTGCAGACAGACAGCGAGAAGTTTGCCAAGCACGACAACCGACAGCACGAGCAGGAAATGGCCCAGAATACCCTGGACGAAGAGATGATGGAGGTAGAAAAACACACGCCGAAGAGGATAAAAATGACCAATATATTTCGTGATCTTGACGGAGATGGTTACGCTCAGCATAATAAAGCAAACAACGAAGGTGATGATAACAGTATTAATAACATTAAAAGGATAAAAATTGAGGAAGAGAGACACAAAGGGCACAAGACTAGACAATTAAAACGCAAAGTCATTACAGCCAAGAATCCAACAAGAGACCTTGACCTTGAAATGGACCAATCAGATCAGGGCTCTCCAATGGCTTCAGAAGAAGGAGCATGGGGCGTCTCCCCCGAGGAGGCTAGCAATTCTGACCATGTGATAGGGACAGATTTGAAAAACACAGTGGCTTCTAAAAATGAGTCACTAGAGCATCATCGCTATGTTGAAGCGGCGGAAAAATCGTGGAAGGAGTATCTGAGTCAGAACAAGAGCGTGATTGTGGACACATTTCAGGGCCAATTCAAGAGCACTGTGAGTATGATTTGGTCTTTGCTTGGTCATGGTTTTTGTGGCAGAGATGAAAGTCTGCTTGATTTATCTGGAAACTCAGATATTTGTAAAAAATAAATGTTGATAAATATTTAGGGGCATCCCTCCCTTGACTTTTCGTGTACTAGTATACTAGTATCTGGACACCGTAAACACTTGCATTTTCAGCATTTGTTTAAATCTCAGTCCACTTTCATCTCTGTTGTTGAGATGTTTTGGAATGTCTGATATGAAAAGAGTTGGAGAATCAACTATTAACTGACAAATGTAAAAGTTCCTTAACTCATCCTAATCATCTGGGCCATGACTTTCATTTATTACTAGCATTCCTGATACGCTGGTTTCAGAAAGCTCTTGCTGTCAAAATTTCTCATTGAATCAAATGCTAAAATTGCTATTTCAAGAATCCTGTTTGTTTGGTCTCTTGCTTGCAAATTTAGTGAGACATAGCATCATTAGACCAGGTAATGGATAGAATAGCAAGAATTTCCCTTTAATTGTCCATGTTTGACTTTCAGGTGATTTGTGAGGAGTGTCAGCATATATCTGTGACCTTTGAACCCTTCATGTACCTGTCTGTGCCCCTCCCCAGGGCAATGGAGAGGCAGATAAGTAAGAAGATGATCGAGTATTTGATTCAGTATAGCATATTAAAGTATTCTGGTTTGAAATTATTCCCTTTCTGCCCCAACAAAGCAATTTAAGTTCTTAGCCAAAAGCTGAGAAAAGCGTCACAGACATAGCATCAAAGTAACCNGACACCAGAGCAGCCCTCAGGCTCAGGGAGAGGGGAAGGACGCCTGCAGCAAGGATGTAAAGGGTAAGATAAGTGACTGTTCAAAAAAAGAGGGCTATTTTTTATCCAAATATACAAATACATAAAAAACAACACAATTATTCCCGTAAGTCAAAGCAAACACTAGTGGGCTGGATTTGGTCTTAAAGTGCAATTTAAGAACACTTGTGATCTTACACGATCTTTATCATCACATCAGTAGTCTTCAAATGGACTGAATCTGCATTTAAGTTCAAAAATGATCTAACATCTACTTAAGTGGTCAAGCAGTTTCCTCCCCTCACAATGGGGGATACCTCCCCTCACAATAGAGGACACCTCTGCTCACAATAGGAGAATGTGTAAGGGGAGACAACTTTTAAAATTCGATGTTAGACCAGAAATGGTCTTACTCATGGTTTAAGATCATGTAAGACAATCTGTGATCTTAAATTGCACTTTAAGACCAAATCAAGCGCACTAGTGAAAGTAGTAATGGTGAAAAATACATTTCTTGTGCAGTGCATGATTTACTAGTCCTTGCCCCCATTAGCCTTGTACAGTTTTTACAGAATAAGAATTATAACATTTTCATCTGTTATACATTGAAAAAGTCCAAGCATCCTCCTCCTCATATTCTTCTTCTCTCCTCAGATTCCAGTGCCACCCCGGGAGTGTGTGGTCTGCGTAACCTAGGCAACACCTGCTTCATGAACTCGGGATTGCAGTGTGTGCTCAGCAACCCCTACCTGGTCAAGTTCTTTGTGGAGAATTATGTAAGTGAATCAGGGTCTGGTTTGGTTGTTATAGTTTTTTACAACAAGTCATTTCAACAAAAAGTATAAATAATGTCAAATTGGGGTATGTGTGTATATGAGAAGTGAATCGGTATTGTTTTGTCCATGCTTATTTCTGAAGTTTAAAAAAAAATGTCAAATTGTGTAATCGTGATTATTTTGTTATCAATTGGTCAATCTAAGAAGCAATTACAAACAATAGTACAAGAGAATTGTTTTTAAATCTCCACTTTGGTAAGTTCCCTTTCAACTTAATAACTTTCTTGGGCAAAACTGAAAATTTAATATCAAACTTCACTATCAATTTCCCCAGGTCCAGGGAAAGAGTCTGACTGAGGACAGTACGCTGACAGGCAAGTTCTGTCATCTCCTCCACAAAGTCTGGTGTGGACAGTTCTCAGGGATATACCCTCTGGACTTCAAGGAGATCCTGGGCATGTATCATCCTCAGTTCAGGGACTTCAGGCAGGTTAGTAGCACCTGTTTAAACTCCTGTCTTCAATATGTAGTTTAGTTTTGTTTTCAGTTGCCTTGTTTTTATTTCCCAACCTGGTATTTAGAAAGGGTGTTTTCATTTTGGAAAATTACTCAACGTGGCATTTTCATTTGGGAGAAGTCCCATTTTGTGACTTATAAATGATTCTTGGATTTTGTGTAAATGTTGAGAATTGGGAAATGTTATTGCACCTTTGTTTAGAGGTCTCATCTCTTATACCTGTCTTCCATTGTTTCAGCATGACTGCCAGGAATTCCTGGCCCTTCTTCTCGACACACTGCATGAACAGCTGAATGTGGCGTCCCCACAGAACAATACAACACGGGCTGCCAAGCTGTCCACAGAAGAGGGGGTGACAACTTCTAATGCAGGGGCTGGAGTTGCCGTCAATCAACAAATCAAATGCTCAAATGTAGACCCTGTTTCCATGGAGACCAATATTGTCCATGACACCATGGAAACAGAGCCTGCTACCATGGATACCATGGAAACAAATACTGACCAATCATCAGATGCAATCAGAGATGACCAATCAGACGTGACTGACGCTGGCACCAATCAGTCCGACGTGATGACAGACAATCAGTCGGACATCACAGAGATTGGGACGGAGGGTGACCAGCTGGACGCCATGGTGGAGGATACTGACCGTCTGGTGGCTGCCCACAGTCAGTCTCAGTCCCCAGTGGATAGTCTTAGTCACCTTCATTCCGAGGACAGCAATCACTCATCTGCCTCCCTGCAGAGCTCGGACTCTCACAAGCTTTTGGAGAACTCCTCGTACAGGATGCAGGCAGTGCCGGAGGATATTAAAAAGAGGGCGCTGACAGAGAGTCCGGCTCTGGATCCAAAATCTGTGACCATGATTACGGATCCATCTTTGTCTAACAATAAACTGGAGAAAAACGTGATCTCAAACAACAAAGCTCATTCAATCCGTCTCGTTGGTCTGGAAGAGATGTACATGAAGGACACGAAGACGAAAAACGTCAACGTGCTCGCTAAGGAGTTCATGGTAGAGGAGGTGCAGACAGACAGCGAGAAGTTTGCCAAGCACGACAACCGACAGCACGAGCAGGAAATGGCCCAGAATACCCTTGATGAGGAGATGATGGAGGTCGAAAAACACACGCCGAAGAGGATAAAAATGACCAATATATTTCGTGATCTTGATGGAGATGGTTACGCTCAGCATAATAAAGCAAACAACGAAGGTGATGATAACAGTATTAATAACATTAAAAGGATAAAAATTGAAGAAGAGAGACACAAAGGGCACAAGACTAGACAATTAAAACGCAAAGTCATTACAGCCAAGAATCCAACAAGAGACCTTGACCTTGAAATGGACCAATCAGATCAGGGCTCTCCCATGGCTTCAGAAGAAGGAGCATGGGGCGTCTCCCCCGAGGAGGCTAGTAATTCTGACCATGGGATAGGGACAGACTTGAAAAACACAGTGGCTTCTAAAAATGAGTCACTAGAGCACCACCGCTATGTTGAGGCGGCCGAAAAATCGTGGAAGGAGTATCTGAGTCAGAACAAGAGCGTGATTGTGGACACATTTCAGGGCCAATTTAAGAGCACTGTGAGTATGATTTCGTCTTTGCTTGGTCATGGTTTTTGTGGCAGAGATGAAAGTCTGCTGGATTTATCTGGAAACTCAGATATTTGTAAAAAATAAATGTTAATAAATATTTAGGGGCATCCCTCCCTTGACTTTTCATGTACTAGTATACTAGTATCTGGACACTGTAAACACTTGCATTTTCAGCATTTGTTTAAATCACAGTCCACTTTCATCTCTGTTGTTGAGATGTTTTGGAATGTCTGATATGAAAAGAGTTGGAGAATCAACTATTAACTGACAAATGTAAAAGTTCCTTAACTCATCCTAATCATCTGGGCCATGACTTCCATTTATTACTAGCATTCCTGATACGCTGGTTTCAGAAAGCTCTTGCTGTCAAAAGTTCTTATTGAATCAAATGCTAAAATTGCTGTTTCAAGAATCCTGTTTGTTTGGTCTCTTGCTTGCAAATTTAGTGAGACATAGCATCATTAGACGAGGTAATGGATAGAATAGCATAGCAAGAATTTCCCTTAATTGTCCATGTTTGACTTTCAGGTGATTTGTGAGGAGTGTCAGCATATATCTGTGACCTTTGAACCCTTCATGTACCTGTCTGTGCCCCTACCCAGGGCAATGGAGAGGCAGATAAGTAAGAAGATGATCGAGTATTTGATTCAGTATAGCATATTAAAGCATTTTGGTTTAAAATTATTCCCTTTCTGCCCAACAAAGCAATTTAAGTTCTTAGCCAAAAGCTGAGAAAAGCATCACAGACATGGCATCAAAGTAACCTTAAGGTCAGAAAACTGATATTATAGAAGTTGAGTTTTAGTACTTCTGTAAAAGAAGTTTAGTGACACTAAAACTGTGATATTTGAATATTTGCATACATTTTAACTGTCAAGTTGATCTTGTTGTGATACACATATTGTTTTGATATATTAATGCTATAGTATACGTATGTATATCTTACTAATTGTGTTTTCAGTTGTGACGTATGTGGCCAGCGAGAGCAAACACCCAGTACGCTATTGTTTGACGCTGTTCAAAGGCGACTGTATTAGGAAGCTGAAGGAGGGGCTGAGGACTATGATTGGCTTAGATGAGTCATGTGATCTCATAATTGCTGAGGTGCTGGAAAATCATGTCGCAAGAATTGTGGTAAGATTGTTATTCTTTTGTCTCAGTTTAGAAAAGATTGATATTGGTGCCTTAACAGCTATGAAAGGGTAATTGGTAACATTAAAGATCTTCAATCAATGAATTGGTTAGACTGCTCAGAATGAAATAAGTTCATCACGTTTCTTTGCTTTTACATCTCCGTAAATACCTCACCCCTTCCTGTGACAGGAAGCATAAAGCTGCTAGAAAGGTGATTATTCATGATGTGATAAAATAAATTTTTTTTTTTTTGTATGTCATCATTTAAGTTCTGAATAAAAGATATCTGATTAATGTCTTATTTCAGGATGAGAACACAATGCTGCGCTATTTAAATGACCACAACAGGAAGGTGTACGCCTTCGAGATGCCACCAGCCCCACAGTTTGATGACATAAGCACAGAAAACAATGACATCAGCACAGAAACTGGTGATGTCACCCCGGTCATGAACAACACAGCCCCACTGAGAGCTGGTGTCTCTATGGCTGGTTGCAGCAGTGGCGGAGGCGATGTGTTTGCTAACATGGGTTACTGGGGACTACAGGCGCCCCATAATAAAGCCAGTGCTGCCCAGGGCAGGGCTCCGAGTGAGGACTCGTCCGATGTTCGATGGGATGATCCTATTCCGTCCACCTCTACGGCATACAGGGAAAGTGATGTAAGGGACAACAGTGCAGTGAATAAGGGTACGGACTCAGATTTGTGGCCAACCACAGAGGAGTCGAAGCCACTAAATTGGGACCCTGATGACATAGAGAATCAGAATTATTTCTCACCCTCAGGAACAGTGAGTGGGGGAGGGGTGTGGCAGGGTAGCCAGGGAGACTTGGACGGAGACAGTAAAGACATGGAAGGAGGGCCATCATTGGACTCTGGGTTCGGACTGCAGAGGAATCCACTAGATGTCACCAGTGATGCCATCTGGGGAGCATTTCCGTCTTCTGCCACGGGAGCGGGGGATGACAGCAATGCCACTTGGGGTAGTGATGACAACAACTCGCGCAGCGGCGACTTCTCGTCTGGTCCTGACGTTTGGAAAGGTTCTGCCAGCCCCGAAGACTGTAGAAATTGCGGCGATTCCGTTGATAACGACAGCTTGGCACCCAAGACGAGCTGTATTAATCTGTCCACGCAGCAGTGGAAGACTTGTGCAATCTGCCTGGAGGAAATGGTAGACTCAGAATTACTGGTTCACCTCAGCTGTGGGGGAACTCTGTGTCAACCTTGTCTAGAGGTGAGGTCACTGCCAGGGTCAGTCAAGTGACCAGGCTTATTTTGAAATAATAGAATTTATCTGAACTTAAAATGCCTGTTGGAGGGTGTTTTTCATGACTTTGATATTGATAACTACTTTGCACTTTGGAATGATAAAACTTGCGTTTATGGCTATGAACTATGAAATTTTCCAATTTTACATCTGGACTTGTCTGTTTGTCGTTGTCCAGAGTTAAACTCTGTGAAGTTCATCTTGATCCCTGCTTACTAGCAAAATGGGAATGATGAAGCTAATGGTACTGATTGTAAAGTATGCCATTCTTCCTTTTGCTACAAAATTGATTTTGTTTTCGTCAATTTCAGATGTCATTCAAACATTATGGGGAAGCAGCTCTGAATTGTCCAGTAAGTGTGCTGAATTTGTGTCAGTCACCAAACCTTTCAAATCCTCTTTTAATACTCAGTTATTCCTTACAGATTGTTTTGTCAAGTACAGTAGCATTATCAGTTTAGTTCCAGTTTAGTAAGAACTTTCCATGTTATTAAGCTATCAGTCTTGATTTGAATTTGATATATTAAATGGTCATATTTCACTGACTGATGTTGACAGGTGTGTTCCTGTGCTGTGAAACCTGCGGAAGATTTTGTTGTGCTGAGCAGTGTAGGAGACGGAGGACCTAACGTTAGGTGAATACTTATTTATTTATTTATTTATATATTTATTTATTCACAGACATGCACGCACCACAAACAATAAATTGAACATAAATACATCACCTGGCTTTCATTACGTGACCTCGGAACAAATATATCTCTGTCAAAGCTCACCATTTAGGGCATTATTATATAATAATTGTGAATGAGAAAGAAATGAAAAATAGATGTTGAGAGAAAAAAGAACCACTGTCCTTTGGATATCACCCATGTTGGCATTTCTTTTGGCTGAACAGAAAGTGTGCAAGGTGAAATATTAATTTTGTATCAAAATATCAGTTCATATCAGTAATGCCATGATTCAGGGGAAAATTACCTTAATTATCCAATATTTCAGGATCCTCTCTATGCCTGTGTTGTACAGATACGACCAGGTTGACCCCAGTGACGGGGAGGTCAAAATGACCCTATTTGGTCACCCTAACATCCTGTATGTCCCCAGTGACCTCACCGCTGACCGTCTCTATGATTTGGTGGACAGGACAGCTCCCTTCATTGGGACCTATTCTTTGTTGCTTACAGATGGACAGGTAGGGTGGCAACTCCAGTTTTTTTTTAAAATGTATATATATTTTTTTCCAAATTAAGTCTGTATTATTGCAGGAGGTACATAGATTGTATTTAAATTATGGAGGCCGGTGTGTTAGAGAATGAATCAGAAAATAAAGAGGATTTTGATTGTCCCTTGAAAATAAATATTGATATCTAATAAAAATATTTTACAATGACATTTTTAGAAAGTGTATATATTTTAAATTTCAAAAAAGGGTGATAATAGTCATATGTTTATACCTTATCAACTTTCTAACTTTTGTACAGAAGTTGTAATAAAAATAAAATAAATAAGATTATATTTACTTGCCTTTCATAGAAAAAATTCACGAACACCAGTGATATTTTGACCTTTTCAGGGCTACCGTTGTGCACGCTGCATGTTTACTGACCACTGTCGTGGTTGTGAGATCCCCCGTGAGGGGGAGGTCCACTTCGCTCCCAGTGACCACCTGGCCGTGAGGTACACCGAGATCTCCCAGGACCAACTGGACACTGCCCTGCACTGCCTTGACCACAAATCCATGGAGCTGCTACGACCTAACAGGCCTTTAACACTGTTTGAATGCTTTGAGGCTTTTACTGAGAGGTGAGCTTGTCTTGAAGGTGTGTTATATTGTGCTGACATCTATTGTCGAGAAGAGTAATGTTTGACTCATAGTTGAAAGATGTTTGGAGTGTTGCTATGGTGTCTTGATGTGTGTAGAATTTTATCTAAGTGGCATGCACTTTGCACTATTTTGATCAATGGCAAAAGAAAAAAAAAAAAAAGAAAGATTGAGTAACTTAAATTGGGTTGTCAGAGGGGTAATTGAAAATTACGCATTTGTGCCGCTTATGCAAATTCTTATTGTAAGTTAAGTGTGTCATGTCAGATTTTTTCAAAACCCAAAGTTCTTTCCAATGAAATTGTAAAGAACACAACACCTTGTGTTTAAAAATTGATTTCATCTCTCTATACTCTCCAGTGAAGTCCTTGATGAACACAATCCCTGGTTTTGTCCCTGCTGCAAAAGAAATCAGTGTGCCAGAAAATCCATGACAGTGTGGAGTCTCCCGGATACTTTGGTGGTCTATCTAAAAAGGTGAGGACAGTCAGAATGTAGTGGGGAAAATATGAAAGTAGTGTAACCAAAGTCGGTGCTCATTCTGTTCAGCCTAAACTTGTAACCAAAAGGGGCATTTATGATATTAATTCATTATGAATGGAATGTTTTTCAAAAGACCCTGTATTCTGCTAGATGCAAGTTCCAGTATCAGAGTTATTCATATTTATCATGTTGCACAATATTTATCATAAAAACCCTGTGTTCCCTTAGGTTTGTGTTCCACGAACGAACCAGCACAAAGATAGACACCAAGGTCTCCTTTCCAGTGGAGGACCTTGACCTGTCCACTTTTATCTCAGGACCACAGACACATGATCTGACCTTTGATCTCCACGCCTGTGTTTGCCATTTTGGAGGTAAATTTATTCAGATGATTTATAACTTACATTCAACTTTGAACTTGTCATTTGTTAGGGTACAAATAGATTTTTGTTTGTTTGTCTTTGTAATTGAATTTATTGAGTTCGGCATCATACACAACAGCATTTTGCTAATTTTAAATCTGTATTGACCTTTCACTGACCTTGACCTTATATTGACCTTGACCCTGAATCAACCTTGACCCTCCCAATACTGCTCCAGGTGTGACAGCAGGGCACTACACAGCCTACAGCAAGCACCCTCAGCTGAACAGGTGGTCTTACTACAATGATGAACTGGTCACAGAGCAGAGGCCCACTGAGGATGACTACAGCAATGCTTACATCCTGTTCTACCAGAGGAAAGGTAGGCCACTTGATTTTAGTCATTTGTGCTTGGAATTATAATCAAAACCTGAATTGAGATCAAACTTGAAATAGTTGTGTATTTTTGAAGGGGTTGAGTGAATGAATTGAAAGTGATATCTTTTTTTGAGATTTTTATCACTATTTCACTTAATGTTGATTTAGTTTTTTAGTTCTAACAAATGAGTGAATGAAGAAGTACGTGACTGGAAATTCCTTGCTATCAGAACAGCCTTATCCCTGGTCCTATAGTGAACAGTATAATGGTACATTGTTTGAAGAAATAATTCATTGTAATTTTTCTTTTATCAGGCACTCTCGTCAACTTCCGTAAGCCAGTGCCTCCCCCTCTGACACTGGTAACGAGCAAGGTCGGCCCAGATCTTCAGATGGTGCCGTATCAGCCAATCACCCAGGAGACCATCAGCCGAATACTGGATGACTTGGCAAGAGATGGACAGAAACGAGATGACGCCAGACCCAAGGACGTCGGGACCAGCACAGATGATCTGGGCAGCGAGCGAGGCAGTAAAGACGCAGTGGTCGGAGATGATAGGCCAGGAAGAGGTATTGCTGCAGGAAGCGATTCAAGGACCAAGACTGGTGGTGGCACCTATGGGGAAGGTGATGCTGAGCCAGTAGGGGGCGGTGCTGTAGAAGGCTTAGAGTGAATGAGAAAGACGAATGACTCAAATTGTAATGGGTAAAAAGGTTGACAGTGGAGAAGGAAAAATTCTCACAGACTGAAAAAATGAAGAAAAAATGGCTGGGTTTTTGGATTTATCTCAATCAAAAATTGTGACTTGGGTAAAAATGAAAAATGTGGAAACTCTGTCAGAATTCTGGATATACAGCTCGGGTGCTATGATGTAAGATATGGCTCATTATTGAGATTACAGTTGGTTCAGGTGCTTTGAAGTGACAGAAAAGTGATGTGTACTCATTGGTAGAATACACAGATGTTTACTGAAGAAGAGACCCACACATTCAGTAATACTGGGACCTGTTTCACAAATCGTTTAAAAGTCAATTTTGGGGGCTAAAATCATTTTCTTACTACTAACACTGGGTTGTCTTTGTTGCGTTTCCAAAAAAATTTAGTAATCTCATTATAATTCAGTCTTTCAGCTGAGCCCTTGCAGCAAATTAGGATCGTCTCAACAAAAGCTGACAAAAGATCATTAGCTATATATTAATGTTCCATCATGAACCTTACATAGTCGGCTATCATGGTTGAGCAGTCTAAGCTTGAGCCAAGAACTTCAGACTTGTGAAACAGGCTCCCCCTGGTGGCATACTGGTATGATAATAATGACATCTCTGTTTTAAGCTCATTATGACAGCAGGCATCCCATTTTGACTGTTTCTTTCTTTCTGTGTTTGAAAAGGGTATGCCCAGGATGTGACCCAAACACACGTGCACGCACACATGCACGCACACAAACAAACACAAACAAACACATACACACACAGGCATGTCTTGTGGTTAAGTATGCCCAGTGATATGGGAATGTTTAAAATTCTGAAGCAACACAGAGTGTAGTATGTGAGAATATATGTATGTATGTATGTAAATTCTTGAATTGATGCACTTATTTTCAAGTTTCACATTGTAGTGCTGAGAGCAATTGTACAGTATAACTTTCCAGTATTACATGGGTTCTGAATATTGTGATGGATTTTGGCAGTAAATTCTAGAAGAAGATAGATTTGTCACAGGGACTTTCCCTGACTAAAAGTCTCACTTTAGNTTGGAATGAGTAATTGTTGTCTACTGGTCTAACCTTGCCCTTAAAAAGTGACAGATTGGTTACTGGCATAATACTAAGAGTGAGATGTGGAACTAGGACCAGAGTTCTTTGTCGTTAAGTTATAGTATTTAGTATCTAAAATCCAGTGTAGTCCTAGTGAGCCGTGATATAATATTATTCTTTAACAGTGGTCTATATGTTTACTTTATTTTAGTCTTTATCTTTATTTGGGTCGTAAAAATAGATGCAGATTTGCTGTAATTTTCTTGTACATCTGTTAGTTATTTCTTTATAAAAGTAGTTATATAAATAAGATTACTAACTGTATGAAAAAAAGTCATGTAGTGATGTAACTATTTACTAGTGAGTAAGTACCCATATTGTACCGGACAATTTTTTCTGTGGGCTCTGTGGAATTTATACTTTTACAATTATCCAAAAGTTATGGAATTCAAACCTGTTTTCAATGATTTCATCAGTAAAAAGGATACCCATTAATTTTTCGTAAAAAATCTTATGCGAGACAGCAAGGTGGATGAATGTCTCATGTACCTCGCTGAAGCTATGACAAATGTCAAGACTAGAAAACTTGGATGCGGTGGAACTTGCCACCTTGCACGGTGTGAGTGATACGCCATCTACTGGATAACTTTACACTAGTTTTTATATATAGCCACTTTTTCTGTGAATACTTAAACATAATTAAATTGGTCATTTAAATATTATGTACCAGTTAGAGGTAGAGGAAGTCAGTGTTACAAAAGGAAATTTATGACCATTATTAAGGATAAGTTATAGAATTGAAAATTGGAAAAAAGCATGAAAAAACGGGTATGAGAAAGTTATAACAAAACTTACTATGCTGTGTTATTCCGATTTTTTTTCTTGGGGGGTGGGGGGAGTGGGGGAGAGAAGTATGCAGTTCTAGTATTGCCTTGAGGTTATTATTATTATTATTTTTTATTTTTTTTGGGGGAGGGGGGGGGAGTAGGGTAGAGAAGTATACAGTTCTAGTATTGTCTTGAGGTTATTTATTTACTTATTTATTTATTTATTATTATTATTTTTTTTTTTGGGGGGGGGGGCATATTTTAATGTAACCTGTGTGCGGAGTGATGTCAAACGTGTGTAGTGTGCATATATTACTTTCTTGTCTAATATTAAACAAATGTGTACCTTGTTCATGATACAGATACACAAGTTATTTACACTTTATTATGTCAGTATACAAGGTTTCTATTTATAATATAATAGCAACAAGAGAATAAACTAATATGAATTTATTTGTAAAACTATTTGAAATGTATGCTGAGTCAAGGTGGAGTGATGAAAATAAAATGGTAATCATGTTAAGACTGGTCTTCTCGTTAATTCTTTTAAGGCGAATTAAAAAATCCCCATTTTTTTTATCTTATTTTCATATGTCAAAGCTATTGGTGGGGGGGGGGGGGGGGGCATGGCTAGATTTATATAAAAAAACGCAACCTAGGCAGAATTAATATGAAATAAAAGAAGAGAATCCTGTGTAACTTTATTCAGGCAAAAGTCTGTTTATTTTTAAGTGAATAATTATTGTGTATTTAATACTTATCATTCCAGGGGTCAGAAGGGAATTCACACGTCATATAAATTTGGGAGACTCGTTTTATTGACTTTAACACCTGACCTTCATTTCACAGAGTTATCAAACCTCTTTGATCTCCTGTATAGCATTATATAATCTCTATAAACCTGACTCACTGTTACTTGACAGCTTTTATCGCTTGTGTAAAATATACATTTAATATGTACAATTAGAAACTTACATATAACACTTTGATTCTTATCGACACAGAACATGAACCCATATTTCTGATGCATTTGTACTTAACTTTAAAAAAAAAAAAAAAACGTGCATTAAAACAGGGGCATGAACATATTGCCATATGATAATTTTTACAACTGAAAAAGATCATCTTGCATCTGTTTAACAGCCATTTTATTTAAAATAAAAAGCTTAATTTGCTAAGGCAGAAAATGAATTCAAGAAAATACTTAAATTAGACAACATGAGTCTTATATGACTGTCCACATAACACTCCTAAGCTTTTCATTTCCCATATTCAAATGAGAAACTATTTCAGATCAATGTGATAAAATAAATAATAAAATTTATCAATTAACAATAATACAAGCATAGCATAGGTTTACCAGTACCATTTTATCTTACTTCTGTCCAAGTTGATTTCAATCTTGATTGTTTATATTGAATTTCACATATAATCATTTACATGATGACCCCTGGCAAACACCAATGATTCAACAACATATATTTACCATCTATGACATCCCTAACAACATGAAGCAATGAACATGACATTTTCACAATCAAATAAAAAATGGCACCCACTCAATGAAATATCTGTCAGAAAAATACTGGATCTCAAAAGGCATGACAACAATTTTGGTACCATAATTTTTTTTTCATATCTAAATATGAGACATTTTTATTCAAAACAAATTAGTCGACAAGTATTTTTATGTAATTATGATGGTTTCATAGGTGAGATCTTTCTGGTGGTTATGTACCCAGTTTTTACTGAAACATTTTTCAAAATTTTTAAAATATTAAATTTTTTAAAATATATATTCTCATCAGCTGTGATGTCCATAAACATTGCACTCTATCTTGAATATTTGGTACCCTGATGAAAGGAATCTTTATACAGGCACTATACTTGTACTATTCCTGTTACTTTTGTAACAACTGGAGTGAGACTTAATAATAGCAATATAATCATCTGTAAAACAGATGGGAATCGATTTAGGGTTTCCTCTGAGATGATTTCTTAGTCCTTTTTGTCTGCAGTAGGTTGTAATCCACAAATGTCACATATCTGCTGGACACAAAGGGAACAAAGAATGCCCGGAACAACTTATGAGACCTGAAATAAAAAATGGAGCATAAAATAGGTTTGTTTATACAATTCCTTTTTCAAATAAAACAGTTTTTTGCTACTCTGCGCAGGAAATGTGTTCTCATATTTAAGGGCCACTATATCTTGTTTCGCTGCAAATAAATTGTTCATCTTTTAATCACATCTCAGGTATTGTAAATCACATACTGTCGATGAATTTTAAAATGTTTATACAAACTTATGTATAATGTGAAAAAATGTTAAGTTTACAGATGCTGCATTTTAAAAGTCATAAATTTGTAAATTTCGAATATTTCTACTGAGTGGTAGCAACAAAACAGGAGAGCAGGCTACATACCTGGAAGGATCAAGAAATTGAGTGGTGGTTAAAACCTTCCAGTTGTTCTTTTGTTGGGAGTATCTTGGCTCCAATTTAGTCTCTCTTGGGAGGTCAAGGTCAATCAAATAATGGCACTTGGAAATATTGACCTGAAAACCCACACATTTTACCATTAAAAGTGAAATACAAGTTTCCACCTCCATTATGAAAATTGCAAAAATATACAAACATAGAACTCACGAATTAGTTTATAAATTGTAATATCACTAAAGGTTCTGGATGCACTTTCGAATTGTTGATAAAGGAAATTGTTGAAATTTCCAGAAAATAATTAATTTATCAATTTATTTATTTATTTATTACTAATTTTTTTCTGTCACCGTACAGTTTAAAGATCTCTAATTGTGAAACTACGAGAAAAAGTCTTTGAAAGTCCAATCAAAATTGGTTTAGTGGAAGCATTTTGGGCCAATAATTCACACCAATAAACCAGTCAATCAGAATCTTTATATTATCATATCAGCATGTCTTACATATCTATCTGGTTCCTCACGATTCATGTCATTCATGTTCTTGGGAATGATCCTGGTAGCATCTGGTCCTGAGGCATAGGGTTTTGGCAGCTGACCTTTGAACTCTGACTGGATGAACTGCAGGTGCCATCTATTGACAAAACATATAGTTGACACCAAAAATAAAATTTAAGACTATTTAGTTTGATATAAAAGGGATAAAAAAGAAATAAAATCAAAAAAAAAATTCACAAACTAATCTTGTCCAAGATCTACTGGATAAGAGAATGCCAAGCTTGTCCAGTAACTTTTTACACACATTTACGTGTTTTTCACACTGGCCCAAAACTGTAACATCCCATGCATAATTGCTAACACATTCAAAAACAGCTCAAAACACCAGTATCCCAGATTATCTGACAATTGACAATCATATTCATATGGATTACAGTCAAAATTGTACCCAAACTCATGCTTACTTCTCTGAGGGCAGGAAGAAGCTGCTGGTAAATCTGTACCACTCCTTCCCCACACAGACATTGATGTCTTTGTCCGCAGGTAGTGTGTGTATGCTGGGATCTTCTGACACTCTTGTGATGTCAACATACATGTCCATTGGAGCATGATAGTCTAGAAGAGAAAGTGACATGTTTATTGACACTGATACCTTTATAGACACTTTGACGCATTTATAACTTGTGTGACACTAAGTGTTCATGTACAAGTCCATTGGAGCATGCTAGTTGAGATACAAAAGAAACGTGGATGGTCAGTCTGACATGTTTATGGACATTGACACACCAGTAATATCAACATACATATTAACTGAAACATGGTAGTCAAGAGGAGTAAGCAGATTCTTAGACTTTTGTCTCAAAGGGCCAGTAAGCCAAATTGTTTTTCGCACAGACCGATATAATATTAAATGTGGCTTATACTGGTTCAGTTTCACTGTGTAGAGTTTGACTGTATGGACTAAGCCAAATTGTTTTTGGTACAAAATGATACTATATAATATAAATATTAAACTATACTACATATTATACAACATGTGATTTACACTGGTAGAGCGCCACTGTCCTTGATACAGAAATGAGTGAGATCAGGATGATGACCACTGCTGACAACCAGTTGGACAGCTCTGTATAGTGCCTGGCTCTTCTACTGGTGAACAGGTAGCTGTACAGCTTCTGATAATAATACAAAGAGGTTTTATGCTTAATTCTTACTTTATGGAGCCAATTAGCTTCTTTTTTAAATAACATACACAAGTTAGATGTAAAAAAGACTAACAAAAATATTCCCACTTTTCATTTCCAGAATGACCATTTTGCTGATGCTATACTTGAACACTGATTAAATGTAGATCTGCATAAGAATACTGAATCTTTTTGTGCCCCACTGATATTGTGTTAGCTATAATTCTAATTGTGCTAGCTGTACTACACTGATAAGGTATTATTCTCATTGTGTTAGTTGTGACACACTCATTGTGCTGGTTGAGATTACCTGGATGTGATCTAGAGTAACAGCTCCACATACACAGAACATGGGGTAGATGGGAAACAAAAATCTCTCTTCCTGGAATTTTATAACAAACATTTGTATGTTTTCCTAAACAACAAAAAGAAAATCAAATAACCAAAAACTATATCAATCTGTGTTTTTATCTATAACCTAAAGAACTAAATAATAAATAATATGTTGATTTCAATCATTATGATGAATACATCTAACTTATCTACATTTATCTAACAAAACCTTCATGCATTGACACATACTATATGCAAATAATCAATAAAATCAACATGCATAAGTTAAAACTGGCAAAAAAAAAATGCTATACAATAATCAGATGTCTACCTTGTGTGGCCTTGTGAAGAAGATTAAGATCCATATATACATTGGTGCTGTGCTAAGCCAGAGAGGAAGAACTGAAAAGATGTTTGTGAGAGAGTCATATTAGATTAGTGCCTGAATATTTCAAAATGATGAAACATCATCAAGTAATGTTTTCTTTTTTTCTGATTGCAATGAGTATGATTAATAAAACTTTTACGTGTAACAATGTAAGCAGTATTATGATTTAAAATATCTCAGTATGACATCAATTTTTGCTGTAGTTGTTGGTTGTGATAAGTCTGATCAAAATCTATCTGTTATTTATATGCAAATATCTATTTGTATATTGATAAAGGTTATAAAATCCGTGTTATCACCAATATACCTTACCTCTATCAGACTGTTTTAAAATATGTTTTACAAGAAGCTGCAAGCAAAATATGAAACAGTAATCCATTATCTTTTTGTTAGGCTATAGGACTTTATATCAGCATACATGTGTATACATGAATCTATTATGCTAAAGACTCTTATATAAAACTTTTTAAAATCTAAATCTAAAACTTCTTAAAATCTAAATCCTTCACTGAATTCCCTTCTCTGGAGATGATCAAATATACATTTATTGTGCAAATTAGTATGTCAAATTTTATTTAGTAATTAATTTAACAAAAATACTTACACAAAATGGCAATGTGATGAGAGCCATGAGGAAGACAAAATTAAAATCTAAAAATCCATTGATGAAATAAAATGTCCAAGGTTCCACACCTGAAACATATGAAAAGTACCACTATCATTGTAGAAATCATCATATGATTTCATACTTAGTATCATTTTGGATAAAAAAGAACAAATATTAGAAAACTACATATCATTATGGTATCATTGCTGTATTATAATTTCATCTATCAACTGAAGGATATTTTAAAAGTAACTAATTTAACCAGAAAAAATTGGAAAAAAGTATCACAAGATTTCAAAACTTTCTACTTCAGTCATGTGCATGCTGCTATAATATATATTAATGCAATACTAAATATACAATGTGATTAATAAAGCACTTGCTAATTTATCCTTACCATATATATCAGGTCCATGTTGACTGAATACGTTGTACAGTACAATATTCAGAGATGCTACGACCAGTTTCCCATAGTAATGGGAGTCTATGAGAACACTGGGAACTAGGAACAGCAGCAGCGATATGCAGCACCATTTCAGGAATAACCCTATCTTCTGTCTTCTAAACACTATGTCAAAGGCTATTGGAATGCTATAAAAAAGAAGGTAACTCTTTCTCAAATCATTGTAAATTATTTAAAGTATGTACTATATTCCAAAACCATAAAAGATTGAAAGCTTTTTTTATGTCTCCTCCATCCCAGTGTACCACAAACTTTCATAGTCCCATTCATAACAAGAGAGAAGGCTACAAAGACCAGCAATTGTTCGTGATTTGGCCAAACAAGGCCGCTTTTATGATATAAACTCACTATCCTAATAATTTTAACAATAATAACAATGTAGCAAATTGTTGCCTGCATTAACTGTTATGGCCTTAGGGATAAAAATTATATATGAAATATTCAATAAGACTCATCTTTACTGGAGTGCTCTTTTTACATGGAGATTCCAAAATGGAGAAAATGCATCAGATATGAGGCTCATGATAGATAAAAACTAACATGTAAATAAATATTTGAATCTTCACAGACAATAAATGAAATAACTAGAGCTGAGACGTGCTCACCCTATAGCTCCAGCAAAAGGCCATCCTAGGATTGCACTGGCCGCTATTGCAAGAATAGAAACCTGAAATTAAAACATGTACCATTATCTTAGGATGACCTTTTTTAATTTAAAGAGCAGATTAACGATAACTAACATTCTCCAGGCAACCTTATTTTATCAAGCACCAACATTTTTAAGCTTAATGTGCTTAAATGTACCTTAAATTTGTACACTGACAGATGCAACAATTTACAATGAGTATAAATAAGCTACATACAATATACACACTCTCTTCAACTGAGATTTTAAATGAAATTGATGAACAAAATAGAATAGACATACTAGTGGCCTTTAATACCTGATAATGTTGGTACATCCAGCCAGCCATGGCCAGCAGAGTCATATACATGGCAAAACTACTGGGGAGGTAAGCTGAGCAGGAGATAAACATCCCCGTGCTGAAGATGAGGAAGGCCAGGGTCAGACGTCCTGTGTTGCTGCCAAAATGACGACATACCCCTCTGGAATTGTAATCAGTTAATCAAATTTAAATTAATTACACATAGGTATTACACTGTTAAATGCTATAACATATATGCATGCACACACACTTGTATGCACACACACACACACACTCACACAGACATACACACACACACATGCACGCATGCTGACATTCTAAAGTATATTATAATCCATTCAGTTACATTACTTCCCAAATGGTATTGATATTTTTTAAATTCCTTACCTGTAAAAATAGACTTCACACAAGGTGCACACAAATCCCAGAATGCATCTCAGAAAATACAAAACAAGCAGCTGAAATGGAAAGAAATAGTCATTACAAAGTTACAAACTGCAGCTAAGTCTGCACCAAATTACATGTGTCTTCCAACAATAAAATGATCAAATATGCAAAAATCACAAAAGTAAAAAAAATAAAAAATGAAAAAATATAGGACCAGTAAGGAAAGGGTCATTTCACATCTGTATAACAATCCACTAAACCAATTGAATTTCACTTCTTCAGGTACTCACATATATTACAATTTTCTCAATCAGTTTTAAACAACCACTCGCAATTCTAAACAACAACTGACTTGTAATTTTAATATCAACTCTACAGAGGTAAAACAGTAACACCTACTTTATTAGCTGACAGTGCAGTGGCATACAGTTTGATAGGTAGAGCATGTATCCAGAGGTAGGCATAAGACCTGATTGCATAGGCAGGGGAATACTCCCAGGTCTGGAAGCCAGTGCCGTACAGTAAAAAGTGGGTCTGAAACAGCCACATTTATCATTAATAAATGACATCTTTTAACACAAGAGGAAAACTTGCCAACAGCGATTCAAATTCTGTTTTAAAACAACTTATGTGTGTGAATGTATGGAACCATGTTTGTACATTTGTATGTATGTGTGTGCATGTGTAAACTGAGCATGTATTGCTCATATGTTGCACTAAGTTTCACATATATATGTTGCCTTTGTATACACTGTTTGTAAATTTAAATATCAAAAGATGCTGATCTCACAAGGTATGTGCAGCATGTTTTTAATAACAAATATCAAAGCACATGACACTGTGTGTTTACTAGTACAGTAACTCTACAAGCATCTCACAGGTTCCCAGTAGTTGAATGTCTCATCACAGTCTGAGATGTTGCTCCAGATAGCAGCACACAGTCTGGCTGACATCAGGGCTTTGAAGGCTGTGTAAGCTGTGGGGGTCCATGGCTGGAAGTCTCCTAGTTCTGCTGGCCGCCTGGCAATATATTTACCAGTACCATTAAGATTTACGTTTTGATGATTATAATTAATTGCAAATAAAAAGTTGGATGTTACAATATTATAAAACTTTTAACTGCTATCATTCTATTTCTAAAAGAGAACTGAAGGACATTTAAAACAGAATTGCCTTAAAAATAGAAATTAAGTGTAAATGTTGTTCATGGAAAAATAATCATGACCAATTTTATTTATTTATTTATTTACTTAAAACTTATTTATGTTTTTAGTGTCACAGAGGAAAGAATCCAATATGCAGCAGAGAAAATACGGATAAATGTCTGGTCCGGACAGTATTAAGGGTTTTACATATACCTTGTGCTTTGAATGTGGTATGGAGGGCGGTGGATATGGAGGAGGAATTGTGAGGGGCAAGGCAATTATTGAGGGCTCTCAGGTACATGTACCCTTAAATTAAGCTTTGAAAGATTTTAAAATAGTAAACAGTGCTGATGAATTTGGTGTTTCTTTTACTTCTGATGTGTATCTTGTCCAAAAACCATTTTTACAAAAAATATAAGACAAAGTGTACGAGGAGTTTGCTAACATGGTTTACCTCAGTTCACTGGATTTCACCGGAGGAGGAGCCGCCTCACTCTCCCTCTCGGTCTTGCTGCCCTTATTGCGTTGCCTTGCCGTGGAAGGCATTTCGATGTTGAAATACACGCTTCAATGAAAGTATGGCTTTATCTGCAAAATAAACTCATCTACACGACCGGAGACAATATCATGGCGAATGCTCGACCGGCCACCGGCTTTCTATTTATTATCAATATTCCACGAGTGCCGGGTGAAGGAACGAAAGATGGCGCATATTTCAAGAAAATGTGCGAAAAAATAAGTTGTTTTTTACTGCTTTGGTTCATACACTGTATTTCTAAGATCTACAGTCTTTCATTTAAAACGTAAATGCTTATGAAATATTTAATTAATCAACAAGATTAAAATGAATTTACCCGAGAGATGTTGGGAAGTTTTTCTTGAAAACTGCGCCACCTATTCACTTCTATTTGTTTTCCTCAAGGTTAGAAGGTAGGCAAGATGTCTTTGCTGCGGTTTGGGACGTCGTTCATCCCCCGTGCACTCAGCTGCCAACTGCCATGCACGTCCTACTTGCAGCAGCGTTCAAGTACGGACTACTCTTCGTCTCAGCTGACGCTCAGAGTCCGCAAGCGCATAGAAGAGACGCGGGAGAGGGCGCTACAGGGAGGAGGTCCCAAACGCATTGAGAACCAGCATAGGAAGGTCAGCTCAATGACATGATGTGTGCCTGTGATCCTTGTGCTTAGAGTCGGAAGATATCCTGACATCAAACGATATCTCAGTTATATTTGCAATAGTAGCACATAGAACCACAAATAACTTGTTGTTTAGCTTGCAGTATTTGTTGCACTAAATTTATTTTAATATTTAGGCCAGGCCATTCTGTTGCATTTATTTAATTCATCTTTAACAGTTAGTATGATAAGCTATACGTTTAACACATTTTACCATTACCATGTTGTGTTCCAGGGTAAGTTGACAGCCAGGGAGAGGGTCAACCTGCTACTGGACGAGGGGACATTCGTAGAATATGACAGGAATGTGGAACATGACTGCACTGAGTTTGATATGGAAAAGCAAAAGGTAATAATACATTTTTAAGTATTTATTTTCATTTCTGTGATATCTTTACCTCTTGGTTCATGTGTTATTTTTCTCCTTTGTGAATGTTACTGCCATTTCTGCCCAAACCAATTTATCCAGAGAGGTAATAGCAAGTGATATATATCTTTGAATTATTTAATTACATTTCTTTGAGGTCCTTTTCCACTCTGTTACTAATATGCTTGCCTGCTCATTTGAGGATCTTTTCAATCCTTTTACCCTTAGTAACTTTGCAATAGAGGGAATAGCAGTTAGTACTCCTTATTTATTCTGCCTCTTGCAAGTTATTGTATCCGATGGGTAAAAAATGTTTACAGCTTCATAGAAGAGGAGTATTTCCCCTTCTGTCATTATTATCACCTTATTGACATTTAAACCAATATTCATGCACTGTTCTTTTCTCCACTATCTTTAGTTTCCTGGAGACAGTGTTGTGACTGGCCATGGCAGGATCAATGGAAGGGTGGCCTTTGTCTTCAGTCAGGTATGTTAATACAGGCATTGGTGCTGGTCTTATTTGAAATAACAGGAAATTGGAGATTTTTTGAGTTTATGTAGTGACCAAAAATGAAGGATATGATCATAAGATGAAAAAAAAAATGTTTAGAAAACAGAAATGAGATACATATATGTAACTGTAGTCTATTGCTGAATAAAAGTTTTAAAACATTGTTAATTATTGAAACTTCGATGTTAAGTATATAATGGAAAATTTGTTTAGTTACTGGCCAATGTTTCGGCTTTAGGCCAGTAGTATCTTACACCCTGAAAGTCCCAAATGCTCAGTGGGCTGAAGGGTTATTAGTGCAAGGTAGTTTATGTTCTAATTTGATTTGATTTTAGGATTTCACTGTCTTTGGAGGAAGTTTGTCCAAGGCCCATTCTCAAAAGATTTGCAAGGTAGGTTTAAGTAAATGAACAATAAAGGTTTTAATTGTTCCTATTTCCAAGTTAAGTATGTGAAGCAGTAATTAATTTGCAATATCTTGCAATGAAAAAAAAATTATGACTACTGTGTAATCCAATTTTGCACGAGCCAGTCAGATGAAAGTATATATCTGTGTTAGGTAATGGACCAAGCCATGCAAGTAGGAGCTCCTGTGATTGGTCTAAATGACTCTGGTGGTGCCAGAATTCAGGAGGGTGTGGCTTCATTGGCTGGATATGCTGACATTTTCCAGGTATTATAAGAAGCTCTTTAAGGGGAGTTGTATTATTTTTAAGGATCACAAAGTTATGATATAGAAATAAGTGAACACTGTGAATTTTATTTAAGTTTTTCATAAAAAAAAGTTTTTAAAATATAGAGATGTGACAAGGCAAGATCTATATTTAGTAAGTGTTTCACTTCTGGTTTCAGCGCAATGTGATGTCATCTGGGGTGATTCCTCAAATTTCCCTCGTCATGGGGCCATGTGCAGGTTGGTTGGCAATTTTCAAGTATTTGCTTTCTATCTTACATTGTACAGTCAGAGTTCTCAGCAGCATCATCATCATTTAAATGTGTGTGTTAAGAATCCCTGAGGACATATTTGTCTTGCCAACAATCATTGTCTTCACCTGATGTTGGAGGACCCTGTTCAGAGCAGTGACCAGATTGTGTTAGTTGAGAAGGAGAAGCATTTTTGCTCATCTAACACATTTTGTATATTTACAGGTGGTGCTGTGTATTCTCCAGCTTTGACAGACTTCACTTTTATGGTCAAGGTAAGAGAGGCTTCTAAAGAGATATTAATAGAGTAGATTAAAAAAAAAAAAACTGCCATTTAGAAGAAAAAGAAAAAAATGAATTTTCCTTTAGTTTTTTCATTGTTAGTCTGGTGGTTCTCTTCTTAAAGAAGACTTCAATTTTATTAATAATAACGGTAAAATTTTTTTGTTTGTTTTAGGACACTTCCTATCTTTTCATCACAGGACCAGATGTGGTCAAGGTAAGTGTGTTTTGTTGGATATTTTGGAAGTGAGAGCCCTGTATCACCTATAGCAACTCAAGTTTTTTTTGACATAGTTTGACTGCTAAACTTGGATAGCCCACTGTGTAAAGCTGATTTTGCAATATTGAGAGAGACCGAGATAGGAAGGCATAAATTTATATTTTTTTGTGAATCTTAGTTATCTTAGATACTAAGCAAGGTTTAGCTAAGATCAATTTGGAACTCAGGTTTATTTGTGAAACAGGGCTCAGAGTTTTTTAGACTGAAACTGACAGAGTTAATAGTGCAGTGCCTCCTATACATGAATTCTGTTGTCAACTTGAGTAGGTTCAGCAATTCCATGAAATATCTCTCTTGAAGAACACATTCCAGCCTCAAGAAAATATTTCTGTCCTCGTTTGCTGTGTTGAATTGGTTATTTTGGTTTTCTTGTTTTTTTTTTTTTTTTATAAAAAATGGCCTGTTATTTTTAGTTTGCTTTGACTTACAGTGAAAGTTTTTTTGTTTTTTTTTTCATTACTGTACAATCTTTATTTAAATATGTACGATTTTATTACAGAAATCATTCACTGAGAACCCCTCAAATTAATTCCCAAACTATTTTGACTTGTATGATATTTTTCTGAGGAAGAAACGCGGCAGTAAATAGATAATTAATTAATCAATTTTGACAGAACTGCATCTCTTATCGATTGGTAAACTGTTTGGATTATGACCTTCAAATGTAATTTTTGTATTTGAGAACTGGATATTAACTGATTTAGTCAAGTCCAATGCATCTGTAATACTACCCCAGATAAGCCTGAGATTTCCGTATCTTTTAATCATCCCAAGAATTCTAATTAAGTTTAAGTTCTCTTTCTCAACCAGGCTGTCTTAAGATAAGACAGTTCGGATTTGGTGGTTAGGAAGAATCAAAATCAGAGTAAACCAGAAGTCATTTTGCCAGTGATTTCCAACATTTGTGTGCCAAATGATCAGATTTGAAATCCTGTGTGAATTGCCTGGATTTGGGAATCTAGATTGAAAAAGTTCACCGGGTTTCATTATTTATGCCCTTGGCAGTTGGAATTTAGAGTATCACTGATGGCAGTGGGATGGGGGGGGGGGGGGGCTTGCTATTTTTTTGCCCCAAATTATTTCAAAGTCAATATTGTGATTACTTATTAAATTTGAGCAAAACAAATATATGTATATTTTTGCAAAAAATTGTTCTTGACTAATACTTTGAGATATTGATTTGATAGACTAAGTTTTAAAAGGTGGGTTGACTTAGTGTATACAGGTATTGAAAACATGAATGCTTTTGCTCAAGATTACTAATTGTTTTTTATGTGGTTATTCCATGCTCAAGGCAGTGCTGGGTTATTTATGGAGGTTTAATGTTGCAGTAATTTTATTAATGCTCAAAGAGCTCCTTTGAAGATAACAACATGCTTATTAGCAACAGTTGCCACGGGGAATTATGTCATATAGGATGTCTTACACGTTCTTTTCAAGGTGGATGCTAGGCAGGAAAGGTCATTTGTATTAATCAAAAAATTATGATAAGAATTATAATTGTGCATATGTTTCAAACCAGAATTTGGTCACAATGAAATTTTAAAAAAGTATTTTTGGGAAAAAATTAAAATAAAACTGTAATAATCTAACTTGAAGGTTCTTTTTCGATGTCAGTTGCATTTCCATTAAAATTGTCTTCCTCACATTTCTTGGAATTTCAGATTTTTTTTCTCTTGTGGGTTGTGGTTATATATTTATCCTTAACCTTTCACACACACAATAATCTTACTTGAGAACATTCAACTGGGTGTGTCATCAGGGGTGTAGTAGAAGTAGTATATTTGTTGAACAAAATATTGGCCATTGTAAATGTGCATGTAAGCTATCCCTAACTTGACATTTGCATTTGTACATCATGCAGCCCTTCTTGTGTGTCATCAGCAATAGAAAAGATGTCTGTTTATTCACTGAACAAATTTATTGACATTAATAAATGTGCAGGCAGTAGATTTAAAAAGTTTAGGACTAAAATGACAATATACACCCAAAGGGAACTTAAGTCATGGCATCGTGTTAATAATACAAATTAACACGATCAGAATACTGTTTATTAGTCTCCTGACTGTATATGATGATGCTAGACTTGATTATTGCTTCCATCGGTCAACAAGACCAAAGGTAGTCTACCGTTTGATGGATCTAGAGACCAGTTCATTTTATAAATTCACACAGCTAAAATATAGCTTATTAGTCCGTTTTATTCGGAACAATATGTCAGTTGTATTTGATGTTCTTTTTCTCCTGATACGTGTGTGACTTGCGTGACATAAACCATAATAATTAAGCTGCCACCAGCAAAGTAAACTTTGCCTGTTAAAGAGGAGCTTTTACACAAAAAAATATTACAAGGTTTACTTTTAATGGTTCACTTGCTGATTGGTTTGAAACTGGTGTGAACCAGGCACGTACATCGAATTGATTTCATTTGATGTAGTGTAAACATGACATTAATGTCAGAAAAATGCTGATAGCATTATCATGTTTTTGGATCAAGTACATCAAAAGGGATGTGGAGTAGGCAGTTACGATGTCACCACATGTTTTCCTACAGCATTTCTTGTTGTAATATCGCGGTATTTTTCTCTGTCATTTACATAATGCCAGGGTGAGTGAATTATCTTTATCAAGGTGGAATGTATGTATCTGAATTAAGCGGGCCATTGTGCCAGTCTGTTAATTTATAAATGATAGGCTAATTTCAGAAACAAACACCCTATTTCCATAGATTTTTAGATCGATCTATCCCTGTGGGGAGTCTCACTAGATTACTGTCTGCTTGGCCGGCTTAAGCGTCTGTCCCGCCTACTAAAAGCTGTAAGGGGGTAATTAACTAAGGTGCTCGCTCAGCTGACTGCAATTTAGCGTGAACCCCCAGGGAGTTAGGTCGATTTAAATCTTAATCTCTAGATCGATCTAAATCTCTGGGAAAGCACCCAAAGTACAATGTTCTATTCAGCTTGATGCATTCAGCATTCATCCAGCTTGAAGTGGGATTAAAATTATTATTTTACTTTTGCAAATCAACCTAATGCAGTCATCTTGTTAAATGAAGTCATTCCTTTATTATATTTTAATAAGCATTGTAACACACATGCACACACAAATAACTTTCCTTAATAAAAAAGATGACACAGTAATTCATGACATTTAGAATTATTAGTTATTTAGCAAAAAATTGAATAGTGAACAAAACAAAAGAAAACAACAGCTAAGAATTATCATAAATTTTATTTCATTTTGAGCAATGCAAGCACAGCTTGCTGAAAAGTGACTACATGACATGTTACTAAGGTGCCATTTGATGGTGATTACAACAACAAAATACATGAACTTGAAATGACAACAACGTTACTGGGACACAACATTGACGATAGATAATGTACAATATATATGATTATACTAGTAAACCAGTGATTAAAACATTGAAGAGTAAAAATTGGATTCGAGAACAATGGGTTTGGAATGAGTATGAAAATGTTACAAAGACAATATAACAACAATTCTAAGTCATTCTTTTGGTATATTTTTATGATTTTAATGGTGATAATCACTTACTTTGGAACAAAAAAAAATAGTGAAACAGCTACCGAGTACATTTTGCTCTTGTTTATTTTTATTTTTTGTTTCTAAGTAAGTTATTATCGTCACTAAAATCTTCAATAAATACAATTCCTAGGAACCATGAACAATCTTATTGAAAAAATATTTCTATTACTTTAAGCACAACTAATTATAATACTTCTACAAAGCATGTGACTCTCAGGAAATGTCAGTGAAGAATCCACACTTCCACCAAATCACCTCAAACTCTCCACTACTTAAATATAAGTTGTAGCTAGCCAAACGCCAAATTTGAGAATTTTTTTTCTGATATCAGATCCATTGATAGTCAAACATGATGGATGAAAAAAATTAGAGGCCGTGCAATTAATCAGAGTTTTGGACTCATGGTAGAATTTGGTCGTTTAGCAATTGATTTTTTGAGTGCTTGAAACATTTCAAAGTAACAAGCCATTAAGTGCAGAGGGCGTAATGGTCTGTATGTTCTCTTAGGGGTTACTCAGTGTATTTGTTGCTTCAGGTTACTACATCCTGAGCAATAACTGATACTTTATATCATAAAATTTGAAATAACTTAATGATTAATCTTTTACTCATGATGGGAGAATATGAAGTAATACAGAAATATTAGTGTATCAGTTAAGGGGTTTTGTGTAAAAGTAGTGTGGGGGCATTCTGCTTTTAAGCTTAAATTTTATGGAATGTTTCTGTTTTCTTTAATGGGTTGTGCATCGCTTAAGAATACACCGCTAATGACAGTCTCGCACGAAATCTGCCAATCATGAAGTGTTTGCTTTGTGCTTCAAGGAGTTTATGAGAGATAGCTTATGAGTTGAGGTGCTTGGCACTACTGAACTTCTCGGAGCAGCTTTCTCAAGAGATTTTAAGAATTTGATATTCTTTTCCAGCATAATAATTATTATGATTAAAATAATTGTGCTGCATTTTTACACATACCTCTAAGACATTTAGATATGAACATATTCACTTTGGCATCAGCAGGATTTTTGGCTATTATAACTTGTGAGAAAACAGTGCATCATCCATTTGGGATAGTAACACAGTATGACAAATAGGATAAACGTGAAACTATGATGACATTATGTGAGACATTTTTCCACAAGAATTGCACATAAAAAATTGTATGTTTGTTTACTATGTACATAGCTGTATCCAAGTAAACTTAGGAACTGGCATCCCTCCTGTTAATAAAATGTAAAAAAAAAATAATAAAATAAAATAAAAAATAAAATAAATAAATACATATATACACACTGTGACTCACAGCCACTTATTTCAGGAACTCGACTTTACAAAATGGCCCAATTACCATTATCTTTTCCTCCTGTATTTTATGCCCTGGATCCACCAATAATGAATTCGTAATTATGATGCAGTTACAGATATTATGAAATATCACATATGCAATTATTTCCATGTCTGCTATACTGAACTTGGGCACAAGGTGGATATATATTCATCAGGCTGTAATCCCACTCAGAAAAATTCTTCATCCAAACAGACAGAATATCACGTTTGGATAAGAATGTTAGACATTGATCAAATGTTTTAGGAAAATATTTTTGATGAACTATGATTAATTTTCTGTATGTTTGTAAACAGCCTAGCATTTTCATGCAACAAAAGCCATATTTCTAACCAATTTGAAATTAGGAATTGAATATGCTTTTTGCAAAAAATTTCTTACTTTTCTTTTACTGTTGGGTAACTCTCTGTCCAGACTTGTAGAACTGATCCAATATATCTTTGTAGCGCTCTATAAAAGCAGCTTTATATTGTACCAGGTGGGTGTCTGAGATATGTGTATAGCAGTCCATGGAAGTCTCAAACTCAGTAGTACAGCTCCTGTAGTGATGTATGAGACCAACCTTATCACTCACAACCTCCACGTACTGTTTATGCAGCAATGGGCGACTAACATGGTGAATTCCTAGCTCAAATATGCTGTCTCCTTTCACAAGTACTTTTTTCCGTAGACGGCTTAATTTGGCAACGCGCTTTGTGTTTTGGGTGTAAATAATGTCTGTGTTATAGGAATATCCCTTTGCTGGCAAGAAAAAAGCACTCTGGAAGCTGTATCCAACAACAGATGGCAGTGCAGGCAACTGTGACAGCATAGCGTGCCAGTTTGAGGCGTTCCTCGGCACCAGTAACTCATCGAGATCATAAAAAGCTGTGTAGTTGAAATGAAACATGTTACGATACAAACAGTCATTGATTGTCAAAAGCTGCCCATAATACCACACCTCTTCCTCTTCAGACACAGGAATGTCCCACGGAACCACTTCGATTTTCCCCTGCTTCTCGTAAAAATCCAGAATTTTGTTCACAACTTTGGTGGTGTTGAAGTTGTAAAATGTTATGTGGTCTGCTCCCAGCAGCCTGTTCATCTCTATAAACTGAACCAGGCGATAGGGATTCACCTCGTCAAACAGAGGCGGAGTGCACACACTAAAACTTCCTGAGGTTTGCTTGGATGTGATTGGAGAATAAACGGCCACTGTTGCAGATTGTTCTAGGGTGTGAGAAAAGCGCTTCCGTCTAAAAAGTTGAATGGAATGTGGTGTATCCTCTGTTGTTGCTATGGGAACCTGGCATGACAGAATCCAGCCGCCATATTGTTTCCCGTGATTTTCACACATTTGGTACATGATAACAGGGGACATATATTCAGTCAAGTTAGTTTTGCCTGCAACATGTTCAAAGTCTCCGTTTGATTTTGGAAAGAGGCAATAAAACTCTTTTCTAAAGAATGTGTACCGATGCATCATAGCAATTAACCGTACAAACTTTGTGTTATTCCTATCATCAAAGTAAGCCGAATACACGTAGCCATTGGGAATGTTTTGAAACCGCCATGATGGTTTCACTTTTCTCAACGTCCTCTCATCTGGGTCATATTTCTTCAAGTTCCGCTTTTGAGAAAAATGTTCCCTCGACTCCTTTGGAACATCCTTAACAATGTTCCCTGCTTCTTGAACCAGGCCTTTGTGGAATAGTAGAAGCAGGAGAAGGTAGGACAGCAAGAAAAATAGCAGCGACCGCTGTACAAGTATCCTCAGAGTCGCCATGGTTGGACCTTCATGGTACCTTGAGCTCTGGCGGCCATTACTCTGTGCTGTCTATGTGGTGGGGTGGCCTCGGTATTACTGGGATATCATCAATTCCAATTATCTCTCTCTTCAAGCCTGGAATGGGAAATGTGATGATGTATTACTCTTATGGGAGTGATTTAGAAAGAAATTCTTGTATAATTAATTGGAGAGAGGGAGAGAGATCAGAGAGAGATACTAAAACTTCACGATTAGAAAAGAAGGACCAGTGGAATAATTTAATAACTGAAAGAAAAAATGATAGATAAGACATTGCCAAAAAAAGTTTTTTTGTGGGCACAAATTTGCATGACAAACTCCATCCTCTATATTGTGCATACTCTTCCAATAACTTCCATCAAACACATTGTAGTCATTGTACTAGTCCATTACCAAGTAATCAGTAATTACAAGGAGCTTTAGCCACCCATTAGAACACAGTGGGGTGGTGGAAAATATGTAATTTACATCATAACTGACTGTCTATTGCAGCCCAAATAACCAATTATTGTGATAATGCTGGAAAATACATCCTGAATGGCGCCTTGTTATTCATTGGTAGGTTACATGAGTACCAGTAATTTAAAGTTTGAAGAATTTGGTTTTGACTTTGTTTGTTTTTGTATTGACTTTCATAAAATAGTTTTATTATTGACTTTAGTGGATATTATTATATTAATTTCTTTCCTGTTTTAATATTGTCTTTATTTTATTTATTTATTTATTTGATGTGTGTTTTTGGACGGCATTCAAGACACAGTGACTGCCTCCAGTTACAGTTTTGAACACAGTCGATTGCAGAATAAAACTCTTCTAAATTCCTATTGATAGCATATTAAGCCTCATTTGCCACAACAGCTAATGAAATCTGCCAAGGCCTCAGTCAGCCTTTAAAAATGGATTCATGTGTAAATGAATAGCATTGAATCTGTATCCATTTAATGCCATTAAAGACCAGCACGGACTTCAGTCAAACAATGGTAACTGCAGATAGGAGAATTTGCTGCCAAATTCATTAACTAATGGATTACAAACTGCCTGTAAGGAGACTGTATGGAGACCAGGAGAATAAGCTGATATATATGGGACTTTCCATTTTAACAGGACTTTTTGTCTAGAACTTTTTTTTCCTCTGTAACACATTTAGTATGTACTATAGACATCTATTTCTACCATTAAAGTTTATCAGAGTTAATGTGGAGATATTTTTTCCAATATATATAAAAAAAACTGTAAATTATAAAATTGGCCTGTAGCCAGCAATTTCAAAGTTGTGGATAGTTCTCTTTCTGAAAATGTGGAATAAAAAATTACTGAGAAACTCATGTGTTTCAGTACTAGGATAGAACCTAAATCAAATTTTGATGAACAGTGTAATGATCTTTTCCTGGCCCTCTCCTACCCCACCCCACCCTTTCCTACCCCACCCTTTCCTACCCCACCCTTTCCTACCCCCCACCTACCATCTTGAATTAATACAGCTATGAATGAATGTCAGTATTGGAGTTAAAATATGTAAAAGTTCTGCAGTGAGTGTTATAGATTTAAATAGCTATAAATATAATCTTTTCCTCAAAATACTCAAGGACAAGCAGTAGCTGCTGAAAACGTGCATTAATTGACACATCTGGTTACGGTTTGTTATACGTGTGTAACCACAATTACATGGGAGTAAACTCTAAATTGCTACAACTTATCATTGTTTTCTTTGTCATTTACCCAGACAAACCCATGCAAAAGATGGCAGCCAACAAAAGGATCAGTATGCAATATTTATGCGCATCCATGTAACAATTAATTTAGCGTCCCCTGATATATGTTCCGCAGTGCAAGGTGCATGCTTGTTTTTCTGCCCCCAGAGAACATTTATTGTTATCATCCTCCTGTGATATCATTCATCATTGCATGGTTTGTTACAGTTATGATTACAGAATGGACTATTATCATTATGGGATGGAACATTATCATTATGGGATAGGTAATTAGTATTATGGGATGTGACAGTTATTGGAATGTCATATGGGCAAGTTGACTTATTTGTGACAGCTGACTGTTGTGAAGAATTTGTTTTTTCACTTCTGAAAATTATTTTAGTTTGCATCAGACAGTTTACAATTGCTACAGAATATTACTTCTTATGTATTGATAAAATTGCTGTATTTACTAATGTTAACTATTTTTTTCAAACTGAGAGCACATTATGTATTTTGACAACTTGAGTGATGTAACAAAAGGAAAACTATTAAATGAAAAAAATGAAAATGAAAGTAAGTTTTAGCACACCATGCCAAAGCATTATTTATTTATTTATTTAATTTTAAGGAGGATTTTTTTTATTACCAATTTTTGAAGTAAAAGTTGTACGATATGCACAATGCCTTTAGTTGCCACAAATTGCCCAATTTTACAATGCCTTCACAGTAGTTAACATTATGCATTGTCACATTATGTCATGCAAGCAGCAGCACTTTTCATCTGCTTTTAGCACGCAATATATTCATTTAGATACAAGACGCAAATTGGAAATCTAAAATGCAAAAATTCCCCCTCTTTTAGTTATTACCTTAATCATGAAAGCAGTCACTTTGAACTTGATGTATGACCTGGGTTTCCACAGTGCAATTCAGAGCCACACATGCAGCTAAAAGATGCATATTTTTTGTCTCTTTCCCAGAGTAAAAAGATTATCTTGGCATTACCGCCTACTGTACGCCTGCAATTCTTTATTGATATATCCTTCCTCTTAAGTTGGTTACATTTAGCATCAAACTAAAGAGAGCTCTGTTCAGAGACAGATATTTCTTATTCGTATGTGTATGTGTGTCCATTAAAGCTAATTAACTTGGTACTCTGGTTTCCTTACCAACGGACTTATCTCTGATAAAAGTCTGTAGAAACACATTTCCTCAGGAGGTGATGTGCACTTTAAATAGACAAGATTTGATTCATTAAATCATCTGGATCCAAATATTCTGTCTTTGATGTTAGTTTTTTTTTTTTTTTTTTTTTTTTGCCTTAATTGATAATATCAAGCATGACCACATCCATCATTGTGCTTTTAGAAGAAAGAAAGAGGAGAAGAAAAAAGAAACAAAATCTCTCTCTTTCTCTCTTTATAGTCGACTAAAACTGAGTACTGGGTCAGTTGAACTTTCAAGTTGATTTAGCCAGCTGCAGGCAGTTGATAATGTCCAGTCATCCGACACCACATCAATACCATAATTACCTGGCTATTGTTGTAAGTGGTCCAGGTATCTGGAGGGTGACAAGAACATTTAAAGTGTCTAGCAGGTATCAGTATCAAGATTCACTAGGCAAGAGATTGCATTATAAAGTAAATGGGAAATATGAACAGTGATAGAAGGCGGGACCACCCAACATTCTTTATAGACTGAAGCTGAGGCACTCTCTTTCTCTCTTTCTCTCTCTCTCTCTCTCTCTCTCTCTGTGTGTGTGTTTGCATGTATGTGTGTGTGTGGTAATAATACAGTCTATAATTACTTGCTATTGGTGTACAGTGTGTTGCAAAGGCAGGCCTATAGCCAGGGGGTTCAGGATGTTCAAACGCACTGTCCATTTTGCCAGGGAAAAGGTTCACTCTGGGTAAAATTGATGTAGTCACATGACAATTTCATGGTAAAAGCCCCCCCCTTGAAACTGCTGGCATGAAGTGTCTGGAAGGCTGCAAGCAATTATTTTAATGTCTGGTGACGGTTGGTGTTGATCACAAATGGACTTGGGAAGGACTGGACAACTGACCAGGTGTGTTACAGAAGACACTAATGGGCAACTAACCATTTCTGCCCAAGGATGTACTAGTAGTCTGATATTAGTGGCAGTGTAAGGAAATACCTGTCTGGATGCTGAATAGGAGGATAAGAAATGATGGTTAAACAGACATGCTGACACACAGACAGACAGACACACAGACAGACAGAGACACAGACAGACTGCATCAGAATTGACTAAATTTTACAGGGTGCCCTCAGATGATTTCAGTACTGTAGCTCTGTAAGGCATATCCAAGGTTCACAGATTGGACCCCACAGATTTGCTTCACCTTCTGCATCTGACAGATATCTTGGAGAAGGGGTACTGTGGAAAGTATAGACGGGGTTTGAAAATCAATGGTTATCACCTAGCTGCATTTTCCCCCGAGAGAAAAATCCTGAATGTGCATGTAGTTTGGCTAGCACGTGGGAATCGTTCATACGTCGCTCAGCAAGAGAAGACCCTCTGGACCTCCATTTCATCACTTCTGGAGGTTTTTCTTACTGTTTAATGGTCAGCAGGGGATTTGAACTTTGCTTCTTTTTTTTTTTTCGTTGCCTCTTGTTCAGTGTATATATAGACCTTGAAAAAATCTCCTCAGTGGGATTTCATAGGATATCCTAACATTAAGTCTCTAGATGCAGTATTATTTTTAAACAGCTGCGTAATTTTTTTTTTCATCTTGAACTGTTTTAAAAGAAGAATTTATTTCCAATTTAGTCCATGGCAGAGACATTTATTTTCTTACTTTTCACATATATTGAATTAATGTCACAAAGAATGGAGATTTATTTGTGGCGTTATACAGAACAAATATCTGCACATTTTTCTCAAGTTTTATTTCCTCTAGCAGCAAATAAATGAATATTTATAACTTCACCAAATGGGGCATTTCCATCTGGTTCTTATATTGTTTCCAAGTTAAATTCAAGACCTGTTCTAAATGATAATAAATCACTTTCCATTTCATAAAGTAAAATAGTTTTGTTTATGGTAAGTCTGGTGTGTGATGAATACATAATTTTAATATGAAAATAATTTTTTAAATAAATACCAGTTGAAATGCTTCTAGCTTTTCAGATACCAAAGAGTGTTTGGTATTTGTGCATCTACAAAACATGACTGATATATTTTCATGATTCTCTCTAGAATGCTATTTATATAAAAATATAAAAAAATTTGATATAAAAAGATTAAAATATGAAAATAGTTGTCATAGTATAAAGTGTAATACTAAATTCTTATAGTCCTTGATAGAAGAACTCTGTAACAAGAGCTATTGCCAAGTTGCCTTTGTCATGTTGAGAACCATTTCTTACTATTAT